ACATCTTGCATGTCATCACTACAAGGACATAGGCCGGTCATTTTTCAGTTCTTGAAAGGTAAACAAAATAGGAATAAAGAGGACTATGTTGAAGCATTTAAAATTGGAATAAACTTCTGAAACTTATGTATTTATTTTTTGAAGAGTTGAAATAAAAATTGTAATTTAAAATACTTGCTCTTTTGTGAAATGTATTGACAATATTGCATTACATATTGGCCAACCCTTGTATGTACTTTCAAAATAAAAACGTTGACGATAGAGACAAAGGCATTGGCAACACTATTTAAAATACTTATCAAAATACAACTATTTCATCAAAGTGACAAAGTACTCAGATTATGAAGCGGGGTTTAGAATGTTCTTATTTAAATTGAGATCTTAAAAATCACTATTATTCCAATCAAATACAATTTATAAATGAAATGAAGCTTTAACTTTAAAAAGTGAGTACGAAGCTTTAAACCTTGAAAAGTCAGTACCGCTCAAGCCGGTGCTAGGGGGCATGAGGGATATTGCACTATTTTATTATCCCTAATGTACAGACTTAATCACACCGAATTTGCAATTTTCATGTAATTTTGCTGGGATTAATGCTTCCGAAGGATCACACTTTTTCCTGATTTTTATAATATTTTTCTGAATTCCATTCATACACCTGGAGATTGTCATGATTGTACAAAGTTGAATATTAGCAAATGCTTTTAAAATAGCATTTGTTCATCTGTTCACTTCATATCAAATTTGCTAGTTAAATAAAAAAATGTTGATTTAATTTTGAAATGGATAGACATATCTAACTTTTAAATTTGGCTAATTAATTATTTATTTTATTTGTTTATTTATTTATTTATTTGCACGATTTTAAAAATAATATGATTCGGGAAATCATCAGATGAATAATAATTACATAGTACTTAATACTTTTGTCTTTAAGATTAACATTGCAAATGATTATATGAAGAAATATGCGGCCACACCAAGAATAAATACAAAACCAATAACTGACAAAGACCCTAAAATTATATCAATTGATGAACAAAAAGATGAAAAACAAACCGTAATTGCCAATATCCAAGAAGTGGCCAATTAACTAGTCTCTGGAAGTGTTGTTCTTAACAAGCAATGATTGCGTCCACTTATTCTATGATTAAAGTGGACCAACATATCAGAAAACTGCCATCTAGTAAAACGATTGTCGTGTTATTTTGTGTTTGTATCGCAAAGACCTCTTTGGTAATTTACAGATAGCTTTGACAGTGATGTCTTTTTAATTGCCCTTTAGACATTTTTACAGATAAGTTTATTGTTTAGTGTTTCATAAATGATGAAAAGTAAATTTGATAAAAACAGAAAAGAATCTAAGATCGATTGATCGAACGTTTATAGCTTTGAACAGGAATCATGCAAATCACATGTCTTCAGATAGATAGAATTATCACTGCCTTTTGTTTGCCGACCCTCTTAAATTGTTTATTGTATACTAAACTAAGTAAAAACATACAATCTTTTACAATTTAATACAAATCCGTAATTAAAACCTTTCTACTTTAAGAACTTTGTCGTGTAAGAAATCGCTTTAATTAAAATTTATATTTTAGTCTTTTTTCTATTCATTTGGTTATAAAAAAATTTCAAGGACTAATAATTTCAAAAGAAAGCTAACAAACAAATGATCATTGTAGATAAAAAGGTTAGTTTTAGAAATAAAAATAGTTCAAAAATTTAGTGCTCTTGCATTTCTAGCCAGACAAGTTATGTTACATAATTATGTTCTTCAATGATAAACTTTTAATTATTTTTCATATTTTTTTAATCGGACTTGCAATGTGGTATTCATATGAAAAAAAAGTTTTTAATTTGAATAATAATATAATTATATGTAGTCCGTTTTTTTTGCCCTATCATATTTGATGTCCTCCTGGGCTCCTTGGGGGATACGTTCATTCAACCCTTCCTTGTTGATCTTGTTTTCATATTTAATGTTACGTTTCTTACTCTACTTCTATCTTTTCCAATTATTTAGCAAAATTCATGAATGATGAATGAAGTGATTGACAAAAAAGCAATAAATCAAGTTCCTGGCTTCTTTGTCAAAGTGAGAAACACTGGATGGTGAAAGTAACGATTTGTGTATTAGAGATTTGCTTGAAAAAACTATAAAAGCACATCTTCTGAATCATTACATGGCTTCAGCATAAGATTGGCTTGAAGTAATATTATGATATTACCATTCCCAAAGCATGCTCGTATAAACATATTTTCAAATATCAAGTAAATGTATCACTAAATACTGTTAGAAATTATCAAAACTTATTTTTCACAGATATGGTTACACATTTGTTTTGGACGGATAATAGCAGTCCATAAAACAATTACTTAATTTAGATATTTAGTTACATATTTTAACGCTTGAGTGATACTAATTTGACTAAAGCTATTTCGTTCGATTTTAACACATTTATTATGAAATTTGGCAAACTGGACATTGATCTAATAGTTAATTTTCTCTAATCATTCGGCAATGAATAATGTTCAATTTCAAACATTGTTCCATTAATGATACTGCTTTTATCAATTGAATATTTGTTTTGGATAAAAACTGCATACTTATTTTTGTTATCTGTTTGTGTTGTTCCCCATTGGACAATATTTGCAATTACGGTCAGATTTATATGCATAAATAACAATTACAATTTATAAGAGTTTACATCTTAATTTACTTAAGTGATACAATTTTAAGCTTGTATAATAATACTTAAACTCAATAACAGCTTTGTATATATGAGAATGAGTAGTTGTTATAGGATTATCTATACATATTTATATATGCTGGGTAACAAAATTGCCTATGATTTTAACTAAATATGAGTGTCACATGACCGATTGTGAGTTCGCGGTTCGGGGACGAAAACTTATAAACATAATCGGCCCGCTGAGCACGTGCAAAAGCTGTAACAATGATGTCACATTTTAAGTCATCAAAAACAGCAAGCTATAAAGTAATGGGAGGATTGAGCATGAATCATTATGACAATGTAAGCGTAACATGTACAAACACAGTTTTATTGAAATTAAAAGAAAAATATCAATTTTGTTTTCAGAAAATAAAACTTGTCTCATGGTTATAGTGGATTTTGTATACCCATAAGGGAAGCAACTCTGCAAAAGTTATGGTACAGTACAGAGATAGGCATTTTTTTTTAATTTGGCCTCTAATAATGGAACGAAAAAACTGAATTTACAAAAACTATTGAATATCGAATATGATAATATGATTTTCTTAATCTTCTTTATAAAAAAAAACAGAAAACATAACGTAAAAAACTTTTCGATGGTCATAATGTTTGTGTGTCTGGTTTTTCAGATGGGATGGGGCAGATATAATCTATTATCATCGATTATCATAAAATAGAGAAAATAAGTATCCCTAAAGAAAGTCAAAAACGGCAAGATTGAAAATGTTTGCTGGCTCGGTTTGATTGAGCCTGTAAATGGACGGTACTGTTAAAGTGCAAATTACCGTTCACGCCCTTTAGCAACGGCTTAAGCAAAATTCAACATTAAGCCATGAAAATGATGAAATTTTGGATTCAGAGACATCCGCAGATATGTTCATACGGAGGTAAACATGGAACCTTTAATGTCACACAGTAGTGTCATTCCATGAAAAGTTGCGTATGGTCCACAATTAAAATAAGATGAACCTTTAAGTTAGTTATTAAGAAATGCTAAATATTCTTGATAAAGGAGACTAAAATGTACCGGACGTAATGAGTTTATGGGTAATTTTCCAATGAAAAATACACCAAAAAAGATCTCTATCTAAAAAGTCAAGGTCACAGCATGTTATTAAGTTATTGGATTAAGCATGTTGCCATTTAGTTATGCGCAGGTGGAGTTTGTGTCCCTTCCAATAACTAACACATGCATGATTGGATTTTGGTACACGTGATCGCCATAAGTAGATAATGTGCTGTGTGCAAGCACCTTCAAAGTCAAGGTCGTCCTTGGAGCTCAAATCCTGTCAAGCTTATAGCTGTTTATAATAACTTGATGGATTGCCGAAATTTTTGAAATCACCACCGTCAGACTATGTGCCACATTCAACACTAATGTCTTCATCTTCAAGGTCTAGGTTATTATTGGAGGTTACATTCTGATTATCTTATAAACCAGTCACTATTTGTTAAATTTACAAATTTTTTGAGACATGTCTTCATCTCAGTCAGAGAGCGTGAGGGCATAAGACCTTTGTTTGCAACTTCAAGGTCAATGTTAAACTTTGTGTCCATAAAATATGATAAACAATATCAACAAGGAAAGGCGGCGTTCAATGAACGCAACCCACACCCGACCCAGTAACAAGAGTCAGTGGCAAGGAGCCCAGGAGGACCCCAAACAAAGCAGGACAGGGCATAAGGCAGAGCATGGGCAGGCTTACCAGTAAAATTATACATAAGAATAAATAAGGAGTTACTGATAAGGAACTATAAGAAAACAAATAAATGATTGAATAATCGGCCTATAAAGTCAAAGGCCACAGGGGAAGGGGACATGAGTCCCGGGGAAGGGGAGATAAATAAAAGAAATACAAACTAGGGGCAAAGGGGAAGATAGGTCAAATAAGTCATAAATAAAGTTAAAGAAATTTCTTTTACCCACTTTGGCTCATAATATTTCATTCTTTGGTGTATTATTAAAACATTAGATGTCAAGATGTCTTCACCAGGTTTAGATAATATATATCACGCAACACCCCTGTTAGGTACACATGTCATATTGCAGGGACATCCGTATCCTTTGGACACAATTCTATTTTTCTTGCGAAGATACAAATGATTTTTTTATTCCATTAGTTTCTTATCAATGTTATACTTACAGAATACTTAATTGAAAAATATTAAAACAAGTACTGTTCTATTCATGTTTGTATCTATTTTTATAGCCTTAACCGTCCACCAAACATTTGCTTATACTAATTTCTTTTATTTTTTCAGCTGCACAAACTGAGAGTTTTCATGAAGAAATAACCTTCGACTTTAAATGGACACAAAGTTTAGAAAATGGTACAGTGACGGATATCAACGGTACAGTGATGACTTTTCCGAATATGTTTTTAAACGACGATTTTAATTGTGATGACTTCACCTTTAAACTTTATAAGGACTGGACAATGGTATACAAGTTTGACACAGATGATATCAAGAAGTTATTGTGCAAATGTAAAGGAGTGTGCACGTTTCAAACTGTTGCACCTGATGTACTTGCACAACTGAGAGATCGGAGACTTGATGTTTTGTCTGATTTAAACAGAAACAATTTTATTATTGTAGTATCACTGTTTGCAGCTATTTTCATACTTGGTACCGCAGGTAAATCAGATTTTAGTCATTTATATACGTATTGATGACAGATCTGTTTCATTATTATTATTTTTATTAATTTGTTTTTCATTAATTGAACATTTATCTGTATTCAAATCAGATGAGTTTGGTAAAATGCGTAATTCATTGTTAAGCAAGTACATTAAAGAAACCAAATATGTACCTAATGGAAAGAAGCTGTTAAGAGAACTTAATAAAATGATAACAATACACTAAACAAATTGACCAAAATGTATCAATTTGCTTGCAAGCAATATTTTGATAGCACAAGTTATAGTAATGTAATGATGTCTGGATATTTTCAGTTTAAATGCATTCGAATTCTTCAGATTTTACAATCAAGTACGGATTGTGTTTCTGGCAGTAACAAAGGAATGTATTATGTTGACTTTATCACAACTTTTGCACAAATGGATTAAGAAATATGATCTGAATTAATGAGTTTAACATGAAAAATGTTGTCAAACGTTAGAGAATACTTTTATTCTGATTCTTCTTTTAAAAAAACAAGTTAGTGCAAAACATAAAAAAGTCACTAAGAGTGAACTCGCTTTCTATATCGTTGAAAGCCGAATAATAATTATTTTTATTAATAATTATATTACCTCTGGTTTCTTACATAAATAGAAAAAAATCAGTCTTGAAATTTGCTGATTGCTTAGATGACTAAAATACCGAAATCAAACATGGTGCATCAATTCCTCCAACACATTAAACGTTTTGCAAATGTATGAGGAAACGTACCTGACGGACATTTTGAGTTTATAAATTTATAAGATTTAACTTCCAAAGTTTCATGTTAAAAAAAGAGTAGTATAACTTCAAGTAATTACTAGTATAATTTTCAAATGCTGTAAAATACATCAAACAGCAAATACCAGAATAGTAGAAATGATAGTAAGATTGTCGTTAACCTGTACTTTACAGGCAACATTGTTACAATCGTTGGGTTGTCAACTTGGATGAAACAGCGGTCACCAACCTATGGATTCGTCATTAGCTTGTGTTGCTCGGATCTCCTCATGCTTTTTCTATGTATGCCAATTAAGGTTTGTTTATAACATTTTCATCATGAGTCGGATGAAATAGGCTAACATTGGTAACTTCAAATCCAAATAAGAGCCAAATAGTCGTTTTTATTGTTTTTAACCAGAATTTCCGAAGGAAAAAACTGGTTATTAGATTGAGGTATGTCGGCGGACGGGCGGGCGTAAACAATTTCTTCTGTGCGCAACTCCTCCTACATTTTTCAACGGATTTTGACACAGAAGCTTTGTCATCAAGTGACCTGGCGCATATTGTCAGGGTTTTGTGATTGGATAATATTTGACCTAATTATGGCCCTTTGTTTTTTTCCTTATATAGAATATATAGTGATTAATTTCTTCTGTGCCCAACTGTTCCTACATTTCTCAATGGATTTTGGCCAAACTCTCACAGAGGCTTTGTACTCAAGTGCCCTGGCGCATATTGTCGGGGTTTTGTGATTGGATAATATTTGACCTAATTATGGCCCTTTTTTCCAATATAGGATATAATTATAGTACACAATTTTCTGTGCGCAACTCCTACATTTCTCAACGGAATTTGACCAAACTTTCACAGAGGCTTTGTCATCAAGTGCCTTCGGGCATATTGTCAGGGTTTTGTGATTGTATAATATTTGACCTAATTATGGCCCTTTGTTTTTTTTCCTTATACATATTATATAGTAAACAATTTTTACCATGCACAACTACTCCTACATTTCTCAACAGATTTTAGCCAAACTTTCACAGAAGCTTTGTTATCAAGTGCCCTGACACACATAATCTGGGTTTTGTGATTAGATAATATTTGACCTAATTATGGCCCTTTGTTTTTTTCCGTATACAGATTATATAGTGAAAAATTCTTCTGTGCGGAACTCCTACATTTCTCAACGGATTTTGTTTAAACTTTCACAGTAGCTTTGTCATCCAGTGCCCTTGCGCATATTGTCGGAGTTTTGTGATTAAATATTTTTTTATTTAATTATGGCCCTTTGTTTTTTTTCCTTATACAGAATATAATTATAGTGAACACTTCCTCTGTGGCAATTCCTCCTACATTATTCATGTTTTACATTGCACATAGTTACATTGTTTGTTGCTTGTATTGTATTTCAAATACAACATATTTATCTACAATGGTGATAATTGAAAACCTGGTTTCATGGCATTGCCATGTTTCTTGTTTTTGTATATTGTATATCATACCTTATTCTGTTTTATTTTCGGAATTCAAGGGCCTCGTGGCTCAGTGGTTATTTATTTGTTGCCTTCAAACGTCTTGTCCCTCACCTCCTTTGGCTCGAATCCTGCAAGGGACTTGAAGTTCGTTCATTAAAGAACGTCGATGGTTCTACTCCGTTGTCAGTTTGTCCCTAACATTCGTCATATGACCTTTACTTGGTTGGTGCGACGTAGAAGCCAACCAAACAAATTCAGGAAATATTCAAGGAGTCGCATTAACAAATATTTCGAAGTATAATATTTATTCAGCGATAATAAAGATAAGATCATCTTGTCACTCCATATTCAATTTCTTTACTTATTTTGGGAAATTCAAACTTAAAAAATTATAATAGTCCGTACGTTTTCTTATTTTATAAACGATATCAAATACGAAACAGATATTAAAAATGGTCAATCTGAAAAAAAATTATGCATTAAACATGTTAAATATCTATTTTTAAAAAAACGAACAATTACTTAGATATAAATATTATTTATATATTTTCTTCTTTCCAGGCGACAGAATTCTTTAAAGTGAGTGACATATTCAATGAAATAACATGCAAGTTATCTTACTATGCTAGAGATATCACATTTATATCAACTGTATTGACTCATACAATCATCAGTTTTGAGAGGTAAGGGCACTTTTTTGCTCTCAAATAAGTTGTTCACTTGAGAGACCTTTATAAATGCAAAGAATTTTAAAACTACGTGTTTCCATGTTAAATCACACTGGCCATAGCTTTCGCAGAAACGGCGGATCCACAGCTGAAGTCAGGGGTATCCGTCAAAGTGGAAGCGGTTCTTTGTTGTAATTGGTAAGTGTAATAACAAGTAATCTAATGTAATCAAGTAAAATTCGATTACAGAATACGTTATAAGGGATCGATTTGTAATAAAATTTGTAATAAAATGTTCCAATTTTAACCAAAAAATGACAAAAGTGACGTCTCTACGAAAGTGTTTTCATAAAATTGGCAAAGAAGTTCAGTTTGTAAGTGTACGGGCTGAAGAAAACATGTGGGCTCAAGTTTCACTAGGTGTTTTCCTATCACTTGGTATTAAAATTATCGATGACAACAAGAGTTGAACTAAAAGCCATATACATCCATCGCTACTGTAACAAATCCTCCGTGAATTATGACAACACTGTCATGAATCAAGGTGAAACAGTAAGTTTGAATGAGTTTGTCAAAAGGCGGATAAAGTAGTTTTAGCAAAATGAAAAAATTTCGCCGGTCCAGGGAATATCCTTAACAAGAAAAGAAAATGAATTTTGATCTGCTATCATATAAATAGGCAAATAATCATAATCTTGTTATCGAGCCGTAGAAACTTTGTCATTGGCTGTGTCATAACAGTTCTCTATTTTCATAGCAGTTTCATATGTAAGCTCTGCGATAAGTGAATCAAAGAAAAATCAGCTGTACAATGTAACCCTTAATCTTTCAAAAAAAAATGTCAAAAACCGTGTGATATATCATTGAACTTGAAAAACGTTTCAAAAACTTTATAAGACCGGTCTTTCGTTATTCTTATAATTATATCTCAAGAAACTTCTTTTTTATTATTTAACACACATGGATAATGTAAAATTTTCGTAATAAAATAGTCAGTTGCTACAATTAATGTGTTTTAGATATAATACCATGCATACGCCACACGCTTAATTGTAAATTTACAAATTTAGTTATTATAGTATAATTGATATTTGTAAATGCAAACAAATATTCTAATGATTACAGAAAGCTCAATATTGATACAAAAATTTTAAAATAAACATTTAGAAAGTTAGGTAAAGCTTTACATATTATAACTATCTGGAATACAGGTTGGTGATTTCATATGGAAGTCACATCCTGTGTCTAAGCATCAAGGCAAAAAAACATATTGCTTTTAATGAAACTGATTTAAATTTTGTAAGGAAGAGATTTATGATAGGGCTGGCATGAACGTGTTTCAATCAGTGGAACTTGTATTAAACGATTTATCTGAGTATAATCATTGACGATTTATTTCAAATCGCTTTAAAACGATTTTGTTTCAGCTGCCAATTTTACAAGAGAGATTTCAAATATTTTCCCCTAAATTATGGTAATCAGTTTGAAGATTTTAGCCACTTTATGTTCAAAAGGAATTGTGTATTGAAAATATAATAAAATTCTATTTCATTTCAGAAAATAAACTGATATATATATACATGTATATCATATTAATGTCTAACACACATATGCACATATTATTAACGTGATAATCATACGCATTTTTCATGGAATGACATGTTGAAGATTCCATGTCACCTATGAACAGATTTGCAAGCTCATTCATAACTTTCCCTTTTAAGGTTCTATGCTATATGCCATCCTATGGAGGTGAAGTATCGATGTACAAGACGTAGAGCGAGAAAACTTGTACTTATGACCTGGCTGCTGTCGTTGTGTCTGGCTATACCAACCCCTTTTATGATGGTAAGCTACATCTATATAAAAACGTATTCATAGGATACAAATGAATTGCTTATATCTTAAAACTTCATAAAACATTTTAGCTCTGTATATTCAAACATCATTCATCATTTTACAGCTTAGGTCAGCAATGAATTGATGTTTAAAGGAAAGAAAACTGAAACAAATTAACGTTTATTCTAACACTTCTTACATAATAACATTTTGTATGAAATTTTATTTGGGATTTAAAGCTTATTATTCGAAAGTATTTCCTTCTTTAAACAAAAAAATAACATGATGGCAGGAAAATGATAAAAGTATATTGCTACAGTCTTATTCGATGTCTTTAATAATTATTTATTTAATATTTATTTTTAGAAACACTACTTTGATGAGAGAAGACTGACAATAGAATGTTTGCCGCAATCTAAATCGTTGTCTTTGGTGATTGCCTATTTCATATATATGCTCGGTATATTGTTTGTGATTCCATGCCTTGTCATGATGGTGACATATTCTAAGAGTTCCTCGGTGCTCTGGAAAAGCACAAAAGTTGCGAAGAACTTAGACGAGACACAAGGGTATATATAGATTTTTTTTATTATAAGGCCAATTTAATCATAGTGTCGGCGTGGCCAAGTGGTTAACGCGTCGTACTAGTGATCTAATGATTGCTGACCGCGCGGGTTCAAAACCCGTCAGGGGCAAGCCGTTGTTTCCTTGAGCAAGAGACTTTCATTGCATAATACTGGTTGGTTCCAGGAACGGATTCGGGAGTGTTTCAATAAGCTTATATCGTCCGACAAAATCGGACTAAAATATATTTGTATAAACTAATCTAATCATTTCGCCAAGTTGTTAAGTGCATATATGTGCAACTTTAAATGTTCATATGTAGGTAAACCATTCTTATTCATATAGTTTCAAGGGATTGTTTTCGTAATATCGATAGGCAACCAGCCCTTTGGGTCAGTATATGTTTTAAAAAATGTAATACTATTATTATAGATATATATATATTATTTGGCTACAAATACTCTGTCTTTACGATTGACGGTCAGTAAAAAAGAATATAGACCTAGTGATACTGATAAAATTAACTGCGTCATAAAGCGCTTAATTCAACGGACAACTTTAAAATTTACAAAATGGAAAATTTCAATAAGAACTGCGCAAGGAGTTGTACATCAGCAGAAAAGAAACATTTATAAACGAATACAATCACACGGACACATGCCGTTGATGGACAAAATGCGTGACTCAGGGTGTTACTTCAATGATGGCACCGGTAATTTCATTACCTAAACATAATGACTGTCAAAATGCTGAATGACATCACATTCACTCACAAGCATTATAAAAACCGGTTTCTTAATGAACAAAAAATTACACAAAAAACACATATTGAAAAGCGGACTTATCGAGACATATTCTTTTATGCAATTAAAGGGCCAATTTCCTATCAAGCATTTACATCTACAAATTTGATAAATTCCTCGCCCTGCGGGATTAGGATTTAAATCCGTCCTCGTGCTCCTGAAGATGTTAAATCACGAAAAAATAGCATCAATCCTCTTATATTTCTCTCGAAACGCTACAATTTTCTCCTGAAACGTTCAAAATATATTTGATAGTTTCCATTCAATTCAAAATAAACTATGAGAAATGTGATGATTATAGTTTGATTTTTTTCTACAAAGTAAACGTGTATAATTATTTTTTTTGTAAAATAAACGTGTATTTTATTTTGTAACTTTATTTTCAGAATAACTGATACAAGGAAGGGTCATAAAGTTTCAAACAGTATCACCCAACGCAAACGAGTAAGTGTTTAAGGAAAAAAACGAACAATTATTCATTGCATTTTCACGTATTCCTATGAATAAAATATATAGATATATATTCAATCTGTTTTCGATGACGAAAGCATAAAGTCTTCTTCCTTTTTATAAAGGATAAGGAACCCTATGATGCAGACAAGCAGTTAGTTTGTTAGTAATCACGACGTCGTAAATTTTCAATACTGATTAATATCAAATGTCTGTTTACCTTTTTCTGATTTTCGTTCAAATATACTTACAAACACTTTGCAAAGGCAGTTATCCTTATGTATGTTCTTCTCGACCTCCCAGTTCTATATTTGATAATTCAAAAACATTTTTACCATGCGTTTTATCTCGAATTATTGCCCTTGACAATAAACATGACAAAAAAGCATTAATGGATCATATATCTTCATATTTCGTATAGTTTATATTTTTGTGCATTTTGTAATGATATACATGTATATATTAACGTACAGTTTCCACCCTGAGTTCGAAACATATATAACGTTTATGTTTATCAAAATGTGTATAGTCAGGTATATTTAACTTTTTCAGGTTGTAGCCCTTTTGGTTGCTGCTGTCATATTATTCATAATAAGCTGGGCTCCTCATCTCTTATTCCAGCTTCTAGAAGTAACAGGTCATATACATGTTCTAATTGATATGAATAATGTAAAAACTCTTATAGTCATTGGTGCAGGCTTCACGTATTTAGGAAGTGCTATAAATCCATACCTCTTTATGGCAATGTCGTCGTGAGTATCATGGTACTATTTTTAGAAATATTTGTAGAATGTTTTTGTAAATGCTCTTATTCAATTCTGGTTTTTGTTTACTTTCCAATTAAATGCAATCATATAGGTTTGAATACAGTTTGTTTTAAGATTACTGTTGCCTTCATCTGGCTCAGCATTAACATGTACATAATGTCATTATCTGTACTGGAGTATATAATGCATTTTTTATTTCTAGATATTTATTATGTTTATGTTCATATAGAGCAGAGTACTTTATGTTAAAATATCTAAAAATTAAAAAAAAGTATATTTTACAGAAAAAAAATATCCATTATTGGGATTCATATTTCTGATGTAAAATGTATAGCAAACTTTGTCATTTATAAATTTTTATGAGAGTTGACACAGTCGCAATGGTATTTGTGTTCCGTATCGCAGACATAAAATAACGTTGTATTTCATTATATCTCTAGTAACAGCTTACAAGTGATATCTGGTTTATTTTTAGACAATTCTGTGAACAATCCGCGTGCAGAAATTCTTGCCTCGGAAGAGGTTACCGATCATCTGACAGATCTAAAGATATTGAAAGTGACAAATCTACACGAGAGGCGTCGTCGTCGGTAACACGTGCACAGACACAGGAATCTCGTATTCGACGCGTTCTTTAAGCGTCTTCAAGTAAAATTGAACGTAATGCCTTACATGTTCCTGGTTTATCTCAAAAATGCACATTTTGGATGAATTGCCGTCTCGTTTATTTTGTTTAATTCTTGTTTGTTATATGTTTGAAATATTTTTCAAAGAGCTAAAACAACGTTTAGTTAAATGTGATAAGGGATTGATAGAATGCTGATATTGTATTTCTTTTTGAACAAAGACACTATTGTTAACTTGTTATGCGCATTCGTTTGACAGTGTGAGGAATAAACTGGCATTAGATATTTTAATATATATGTTGTTAAATCCATTGGATAAAATTACGTTCAATGAATGAAATCAAATATTTGCATTGATCGAGTGTTTATCATATTAAAAACCCAAACTGTGATTAATGATGGCGTTTTATTCTTTGACAAAACATGGTAACATCACATGAAATAAACCCGCCTTGTCAGTGTTTGCTTTATTACCCGAGTTACTTAATATATATGATCATGCGGGGAGCAACTCGGATTCGAAAAAAGAACTTTAAAATTTTGGCTTAAGTTTTTAAATTTCCCCTTTTTCCTAAATTTTAGAAATTAGTATTACTTTGCTAAAAACAAATAACTGGGTAAAGGTAAGAAAATTTTTTTAATAGTGTTATTTTAGGGAAATTTCCAAGTCGGGGAAAAAATAAATGATTTAATGAAAAACCACAGGGCCCCTTTGGGGGACCAATAAGTCCCCTGAAACATATTATAAATTTAATTAAAACCCAAATAGAAATTATTATTAAAAACTTTTACATATATAAAAATTTTCGTAGAAATAAATGGGCCCCCTAAAAAAAAATACAAAACAATAAAAATTTACATATATTGAGAAAAATTTTCACTTAAAAATTTGAAATTCTTGGCATATTGGGAAAAAAATATTTCCTTAAAGTAAATGAAAAAAAGGCACTTAAAAATTATTTCTAAATTTTGATAAATTATTATTGCATTAATTTAAAACATTTTGAAGAGCTTTTTAGTTCGCGGACAGCATTTACATTCAGAAGATTAAGAAAGAAAAATTTAATTAATAAGCCTTTTAAATTTCTAATCGGATCGATCTGAGTTCCCGCCACACATGATTGCATGTACGCGTTCACCGGCTACTAGCATTTACTCACAATTCACTTTAAGTATTTGAAGGGCTTGATGTAAAGCAAGTATACATGAACAGTTAAAAACGTTATATGGTATACATAGTCTTGTTATAAATAAACGTTAAAGTGTTTACAATAAATACCTTGTATCAGATCAAAGTTGAAAACAGACGACGGGACAAGAAATGATGATTTCATTTTAAATGATTTACTCACTTAACAACGTTTGAAAGTAGAAAAAATCTCGATTAAAAAAATTTTTTGTGACCAAAAATTTCTAAAATTAAAAAGAAAAGTTACAAACGCGAAAATAAAAACAAGAACGATGAGTATTTTTTTAAATTTTTTTTTAAGCTTTTTAAAATTAAAATTTCATTAAAGGAAATAAAAAACCGCTCCAAAAAGGGAAATTTAAGGTTTACTTTTTTTTCGGGTTATTAAAAGCAAAGCCAAAATAAATAAAAAGTAATTTTTTAAAAAATTTAAAAAAAAAACAAAAAAAAAATTAAAATAATTTTTTCACGACAGTACCCTATGACTTTTTTTTGCAACGGATGCATGGGAAATAAACCCCTTAAATAAAAACCGGGGAAATTTGTATTTTATCCTCACACTTTTGAAGCTCTTAGCCACTGATATTTAGGTCCAGCAAAAGGATACCTTGTCCGTGGTAACATATCTGTACCTTTGACATAAAAAAATAATGTTTGTAAGAACCAAATATTTCAACACCTCTGAGGAATCGATTGATTGATTTAAGAATGGTCATAAAATATCAAAAACAAGATCTGCTATGAACACGACCCAGCAAATCACGGACGGGGTGATTACTTTAACAACACATAATAGGAAATAATAAAAACTCACATGGAAATTAAAGAATATACGATTAACCAATAAGCCTCGAAGGGGACTTGATGGTCGAGGAAGGAGGGGCGCAATATAAAAAAAACTAGGGGCAATTGAAATATACTTACCGTAGACTTACCGAGAATACAACAGGAAGGGAAACAAAAATGCCAATATAATAGTATGAAACAACAAACAAGACATACATCTGAGAAACACAGAGGAGTGCCGCCTTAGAACGGTCAGCAGTATAAGCACGTCTGGGGAATTTAAACATGTTATGGGTGCACCGAACCTCACTCTTAGGTCCGCCATGTTCCTTTTAAACGAGACAATGTAAATAAAATGAATCATCGCCAAATGAAATTCTAACTGGTGTAATGGTTGCATATGAAAGTGAACCCAGTTAACCCAACAGAATGTACTGAAGGCAGACAGAGCACCAAGAGAATCACATACAAGGGTCCAACGAAGCAAGACAGAAGACGAAAATTAAATCAATTCAGTCCCGAAGTCCCGAAGGGTTTCAAGGGTTGTCCATTATAGAGTCTTCCACTTAGTCCGTCAGATGTAATCAAAAGAAAAGGAAACCGTAGTGTCCAACTTTAAAATTGTTGAACAGTAATCATGTCTTAAAATAATAGGGTCATAAGCTCTTTTAATAAAACGTTTAATAATTTTAGTAAATTAATACAGTAGAAAAAATACCATGACCTTAGATCTTATGAAGTTTGTAAATTACATCCCTATAAATCAGGCTTGCTTATAATCCTAGTCGCAGAAATGATTTCAAATCTCTATTGAATTTTGAAATTAAATCGAAATTACGATTGTAAAATTTAGTTAAAGAAATCATTCGTTATTCAGTTAGTACAGAAATATTTAACAAGATATACATTTTAAATGAGCATTTATGATACATTGACATGCAGACCAGTCATATAAATCAAGTCTGCATGGCGGAAACTATATGGAAACTATAAGCAATTTAATTTTGAAGTATTCATAGGCAGGATGATAAAGATTTCTAATATTTACCGAACCAAGAGCTTGATTTATCATTCTGTTGTGAGTATATGGTTGCTTCCATAAATTCGAAAACAATAACAGGTTTAAGTTTTTGTACTGACGTCATACAAAACTATCTAAACGATATGATATTAACTAAAGAATATTCAATTATTTCCATTTATTATAAAAATGACCCCGTCTACCCTATCGTCCGTCTGCTGTTATCAATAAACATGTACAATGTAAACAGAAATTGTCACATTAAGTCGTTATTGAAGTTATTACTTTACACAAGTTTGAGATAACGCTTATCGTTGTAATGCACAGCATAGCCTAGATGAAGTCCTATCAATAACTGATAACTGTATTCATCTGTACAAATATGTCAGTTATGAAGGAAGATCACAAATGTAATGGAAACTAATTCGATTTAAGCTATACTATTTTAAAAGTAAGTGAGACTTATTACGATTTTCTTTTTTTATTCTTTAAATATTTTTTACAATGGTGAATAATTACAAATTAAAATGAATAAATCAAATACGTTCACAGACGAGCTGTTTGTTGGATAAGACCATGGTTTGAAATTATTTTAAATTATTTAAAAACACTTAATCAAAGAGTAGCTGTAAGTTTGATTACATTACATAAAAAATATCAAAGATACTTAATAAAAAAGTTATTAATTTTAAATATTTTAAGAAATGAAACATGTACTGGATTCCGGCCACATACCGGACAAAAACTGGACAAACATATTTTAGTGCGGCTAATAAACAAAACATAAAAGAAATGTGAATCGTTTGGGGGATAAAGTTTGGTTTACGATCTCCATTTTCGACATTTTTCATTTCCTTTCTTTATCTAAAGGAAGCGATAAATGGGGCCCGAAAAGGTCTCAATGAGTTATACTTTTCGTACCAGGACGACACCTACCGGACAAAATCATTTTCAATAAATAAATATAAATAAATATTAGTGGTGATTAATTGAATATATATAATTTTTTAATTTTCAAAACATACATGTGCATCTTTTGAATTGGTGTTCTCCTAATATTGGCATATCCTTTGTTTGTATCTATAGAATAGCACATAGAATGAGGCCCGTCAATAAGAAAGAAAATTTGTTCTTTTATGAAAATAAACGACGCTAACAAGATAAATACCTCATGCGACCTCATTTTAAACAAAATATTTGGGTTTCATTTTTTTGGTGTAAATTATCACCGGTCATCATAATTTAACACTGTTAACACTATTTTATGACATTATCATATAAACAATTACCCAAAAGAGTATTAAAATTTTCATTTTACAATACTTTTCAATAAAGCAAGATTTTGTTACTTTTTAGACTTTGGGAGAGTTACGAAATCAAAAGCTTTTACAAAATTATGATCGTGAACATTTTTCGTCAAATAAGATTAATATTTGATTATGTTCCTTATTTAAAGTTTCGGATATTTCGTCTGTAAATTATTTACACCCTACGTGGTCCTAAAAAACCAATGCATACGCACACTGTACTGAAATCCCCAAGTGTATCTTGCAAAAAGGGAAGTATAAAATATAGCTAACGTGATGTAGTATGATTGACATTAACTAATCACGGCAGATGAAAAGACTTGAAAATTACCTTTCGATGTTTTGAATACTATACAAACATCTGTTTAGATTACCCATGTTACAAAGACATTTAAAACAAAAAACTATCAAACATAAGAAAGGAAAACATATCTGGTACTTGGTTCTATCAGGTAAAAGTTTGGAATCCAGTATGATACATAAATAAATACGTTTTCAGTAAATCTTATCTAGTTTTTTTCAAAATGAAGTATTATCAAAAACACGACTTTATTCATTTCGTGTGTCAATAGATAACAAAATTGATTATATCGCAAAATTTTCTTCCCGGGTCGTCATGCTATGGGAGGTAGGTGATAAAAGCATACCTTTATCACTACCATCCATGGACGGTATAAATCAAACTGATACAACACTTTTGTTTTGAGAGGTTTTGTGACCTTGAAATTTTCATATGATCTTTTTTAGTTCCTTCATCAAAAAAGATGGTCAGATACCAATATTTGTTACATTTACACTTTTTTGAGGGAGCTTTGTCGATTAAATGATATGTTGCATTGATGTTTAAAATTTAAAACTGTTATCTTTCAGCATACGCAGTGTTTATTGAATGATCAAGCTGATAACAGTATCTCACTTTAAGCTGACTTAACATATCAAACATGATAATATAGGATTCATTGATCCAGGAAGTTACCTGTCGATATATCAAATATCTTTCAGCTCTCATCAATTTTTATTTCAATCGTTTGCTTTGTAAGTTTTGTGGAGAGTGTATATATATACAGTTGAGTATAATATATTATGAGCCGCGTCATGACAAAACCAACATAGTGGGTTTGCGACCAGCATGGATCCAGACCAGCCTGTGCATCCACGCAGGCTGATCAGGATCCATGCTGTTCGCTTACCAACTCTATTACAAGTGGAGAAACTGACAGCGAATAGTATGGATCCTGATCAGACTGCGCGGATGCGCAGGCTGGTCTGGATCCATGCTGGTCGCAAACGCATTATGTTGATTTTGTTATGGCGCGGCTCATATATAGTTTTTCCAGTAACATACAGTTTTCAGATATAATAAGTCTAGCAACATGGTTATCAGCGTTAATGAATTAAAATGCCGGCATAGAATCCTGGTTATACTTGTTTTAGTAATAGGTATGTATGACTTTTATATTGTATTTTGATTATTAATTACTAGTAATAACAATCCACTTTTAACTGTTGCTATCTTTCGGGTTGTTCTTTTTTTTTTCTTGGTTTATTTTCTCGAATAATATAGCATTTGTAGCAAGCATTCTACCTTTTGACACAGTTCTGACAATCAAAGAATGGATTAATAAAAAATAATCGAGGTGCAAGATATGTTGAAAAACAAATACTGTTACCCATTTACATCCTGGAGTTTTTTTTCACAAAATGATGCTATGCTTAATCTATATTTACTATAGATTTGAAATTATGTTGCGATTTCTTTCAACTTTAGGCTATGCAAATGCTGGATCGCCTTATATAGCTGAATCTATCCCCGACAGCTCATATTCATCTCAATATGAGAATTTCAGTAAGTACTGTAATCTTGTATCAATATAACTTGTGTAGTTTGTCCTAGTAGTACTGAAGTTTAATATTTCATCTGCATACCGGCATTCACTCATGAACATATAAAAATAGTAATTTCTTATCTTAAAACACGGCAGACACAAAATATTTTTCAGAATAAGTATAACACATGTCTTTATCTATGTTTATACTAAAGCAGATCATCCGCCCGTTAAAACAAAATAAAAATGGGAAAAAAATTTCGCTCTAAAGTACATGTATATATAAGTATAGTAAACAACACAAATGTTTGTTTTTAAAGGATGAAAAATAAATAAACCTACAAATAATATGTTATCAGTATTTCAAAAACAAAAGATATTACGCTCTAAAACAATTGGAAATAAAAATGCTATGTTAACAATAATTTTCTGATTTATTTCTTTACATTAATAACATACATTCACCTAATATGTTCATGGCTTGTTGCAAAAGTGATGATTATACTTTTATAAAAGCAAGCAAAGTGATTCTTAATATCTATTTAGTGCACAGTGTAGGTTGAAAGAATGACACGTTTAAGACATGTATACAATTTAAATATATGTACATGTAAATTATGTGACCCCAACCCCTACCCCAACACTTGCGTTTAGCCTTTTGTACACCAGGGTAATGCTATTGAAATGTTCTTCTGCCAAAAAACTAAGATCTTACACTTTTGTTGAAATCCACATGTTAATGCTTCTTGTAAAATATCTTTACTTTAAGGTATAAAGACATACCCTTGACCTGAGGAAACCCCTTATCTACACAAAGTTTCAGTACTTTTAATATTTCTGCTAAATAGTTTTGATTCCATCCTAGAGTCCTAAAAAAAACATATCGGACACGAAATTTATACATAATGACTAATTGTTAAAAAGAAGCCCAATTCTGCCCTTTGTACATTGTCTCATTTTGCTTTTAATATATCTGCTATGTAGTTTCAATTTCCTTATACGGTTGAAAAGATACAGAGCGGTGACACCAATCCACTAACGGATTTCCAGGTGCAATACACAATGTGGTTATACACTTGATTTTTCGGTTACAGTACACGCAGATTTTTCACCGATTCAGGTATGTTTTTATGAATGACTTTGCTGTAATTCAACCGATTTTGATCAGATAAGGCAGAGTACCCGTAATCATATTTGGAAAGCCCCTGAATGCTTTTTAAGAACATTCGAGTACAGTTTTGTTTTCATAGCCGGGGTCGAGGAGGACGTTACACACTCATTTATCACACCAAGCGATTTTCAGCAAGTGGTCTGTTCTTTATCGCTGTTTCAAAGAAAAATAAAAAGTTAAATCTTTCATTTTTACTAGTACATGTATGTTTAATTTGTCTATTGAATGCAGTGTTTCAGCATATTTTCATAAATTTATGTGTTGAAATGGTACGGAACACACTGGTTTTTTAAAAAGATACGGTACACACAACTTTTAAGTCTAATTGAAATAAATTTGCAAAACAATATATGAAAATATGCTTTGACTTATAATGTGAGTGTCTTTTTTTCGACATTTACATATTTTTTTTATCTTACGTGAACCTTTTGGGCCCGTTTTGTAAGGTATCATTATAGTTACAGCTTGATGTCAACAAGATTATTTTTTAAAAAAAATTAATAGAATGTCGTGTCGCGCACAATTCGATTATAAAATGTTTTGCAATTTTTATTTTCATTTGGTTAGCATGTTAATGTATTACAATGTTCTTCTGTTTTTAAAATCATGTGGGAATCAAGCTGTAAGTATGATAATTCCGACACAACGGGCCGAAGGGTTTACGTAGGATTAAATGAAATATGTAAATTTGAGAAAAAAACATCATAAGTTAAAGCAAATTTTCATATATTTTTGTCAGATTTATTTCAAAAAGACAAAACATTTGTGTGTATCGTATCCTTTAAAATAGCGGTGTGTTCAGTACCATTTCAACATAACTTTATGAAATATGCTATTCGTAAAACATCACTGCATTCACTAGATACATTGGCCATTGTTACTTTCACTTTCAATGAATGTTCTCAAAAACCATTCAGGGGTTTTCAAAATTTTGATTTACCTTGATAAGCTGATATAATTACGGGTACTCTGTGCCATATCTGATCAAAATCGGATGAGTAACAGCAAAGTTATTCATAAAAAACATACCTGAATCGGTGAAAAATCTGCGTGTACCGCATAGTATGGCCACATTGTTACATTACACCCGAGTTTTTTTCGGGTGTAAAAGAATGAAATAATACCGACTCCCTACTTAACTATTTATTGTCATTACATTATATATGTTGTTTCTGTTTATGCAACCAATGAAACACAATAATATTTTGCATTCTTTTTTTTCATGACTGTTAAAAGATTGATCGACTTCATTCTAATGTCTTACAGATGGAACTGTTTGTAAACTTCACATAAAGGATTCTGATGGAAATGACCACATCAGAGTTAAACCGGACAGTGACGATACACGCATTTATTTCAGTTTTGAACCAGAGAATGGTACAAATGATGTCTGGATCAATATAATAACAAAACAAGATTTAGACAGGGAAACCTTAGTAAGCAATGCAATCTGTTTATATATATTTCACTTATGATTGATATAGCAAGTACTAACAAATATATTGCTGACTGGTTTGTTTTTCTATTTATTCATTTATTCATTTATTTATTTAATTATTTAATTATTTATTTATTTATTTATTTATTTATTTATTTTACATGATATTTGTTTGTTTGTTTTAGTTTTTGCATTTGCGGAAAACTACTGTTGTCATATTCACACATTATTACTGGCGGCAGTGATGACAGATCACTGCAGTGATGGCAGATAGCTGAAATTTACCGCTCGGTACAGGTAGGTTATAAATTTGGTTGGTATAATTATATTACACAAATACGGCCCATTTCATTGCTATGAAACTATTGTCCATTGAATGGAGATAGTATAAGGTAATTTTGGACTCGTTTTTTCCTGTTTTTATACTATTTTGAGCAGATTAAAAATGACAGCTTCGGAAAAATCCTTGAAAATGTCTGTTTGTTGTTCAAAATATCTCAAGTTTTAACTAAATGGCAGAATTACGTGTTGTTAATATAGACGTCACGCAAGCCAAATATCTACCCCGTGAGTCTGTTCTTGAAAGTTTTACAGACGTTTAATCTGGTCCGCTCGAAGAAAGAAATGCTGCCGTTGTAGGCAGAAACTTATTTTAAATGCTGCCGTCGATGGCAGAAATACCATGAAAGTGGCTAACATTCTGACAGAAAATCAAGGTCAATCTTTTATCAATTCCTCTATTCTTTGCATCCTTTTAGTCGGAAATGAGATGTTATGTCTTGAAAAAGGAGTGAATTATGCGCTGCTAAACTTAAGATACATATGGTATTGTATGCATGTAACTGACAGACATAACAGATCAAGCACACATGCATGCATGAATATAGAAAAATGAATTTCTTCATGTTAATTGCTCTATTTATAGTGCACTTTGGTGGTACTGAATCATCACATTTTGTATTGTAACTGTGTGTTGCTAAAAAGCTTTTTCGCTGCACATACCGCATTAATAACTTTTCTATCTTGAGAAAATATTAGAAATGCTAGTTTAACGTCACAATTCCGACTTAAAGGACGCAAAGAATAGAGGAATTGATAAAAGATTGACCTTGATTTTCTGTCAGAATGTTAGCAACTTTCATGGTTTTTCTGCCATTAAAATAAGTATCTGCCTACAACGGCAGCATTTTTTCTTCGACCGGACCAGATTGAATGTATGTAAAACTTTCAAGAAAAGACTCAAGGGGTAGATATTTGGCTTGCGTGACGCCAATTGATGAACGTCTATATTAATAACACGAAATTCTGCCATTTAGTTAAAACTTGAGATATTTTGAACAACAACCAGACATTTTCACGGATTTTCCGAAGCTGTCACTTTTAATCTGCTCAAAATAGTATAAAAAACAGGAAAAAACGAGTCCAAAATTACCTAATACTATCTCCAGTCAATGGACAATAGTTTCATAGCAATGAAATGGGCCGTATTTGTGTAATATGATAATACCAACCAAATTTATAACCTACCTGTACCGAGCGGTACATTTCAGCTATCTGCCATCACTGCAGTGATCTGCCATCACTGGAGGCGCCAATTATACGGTGCGATATTGTACTGAAAGAAGCAGTAGTTGAAATTTGACCCGGACACTCATTCTTAAGTAAACAGCGTTCTCTCGGATCTTTATTCACTATCTCGACATTAGCTCATTTAACATACCCAAAACATATATTTCCGGTTCTTTAACTTTACTAGCTCGGCAAATGTTTTGAGAATCCATAAAACAAAACCAGAGGCTGATATGTGCATTATTGTACTAAATAATATCGACTAAACAATAAAAAACGTCACTTCCATATGGTAACTATGTTAGCATTCTTGCATAATAGTGAATCTCTCTTTGTTAAGAGTGTTTATCTATAATGTCCTAGCGGCCCAGCGCCCAGTCTTTTTTTATTTGATTAAGTATCAATTGCATGCATATTGATGCATAACGTTTAAATAATTTCATATATTACAATTGATTTCCAGTCATAAAAAAATCCAAGTAAGCTATTTACAAATTATATCAAGTAAGTGTTGGCCTGGAAGGAACTGATTTAAACTTGTAATAAATAGATATCATATTTGAGAATTGTCATATGGCAATCTTTTACTGGTGGCGAAAGACTTCATTTCCTCCTCAGTGCAAAATTTCAGACCGGGCGGGTACTTAAGTTGAACAACCGAAGCTAACTGGATAACATCACTACTTGATAGAAATTTAAGTCCAACAGTTGCGAGTAGTAAACGACCCTATACCTCTGTTTAATGAAGACAAAGTTTTTAAAGAAAGTATTAAAGCAAATACGGCTCCTTGAGATCTTTAGTTCGTTCAGCACGACATTATTGTTGTGTATACATGTTATGTGGTATTTTAGTTTCTTCTATTTGGCCTTTTTAACTTGGTGGTTCCAGTATTCCAACTTGAATACTGTCTAATCACCCTTAGGACATGTTGCCTGCTTTTTAAATTGTCTTTTGACGTCTTATCTGTGAAATGCAGGCTTCATAACCTCAGATCCCCTTTCAAAATTCCATTTTATTTAGTTCCACCAATTGTTTTCTCGTTTGGGGTACACGCATTTTTTTACTTGGGTCGACCATATGCTGCTTTTCATGGAATGGCACTTACGTGTCACATTTAAGGTTCCATGATAACCGTCATATGAATACATCTGCGGATGTTTAAAGAATTCCAAATTGTACCAGTTCGTGTTGAAATCTGCTAAAGCCGGTGCTAGGGGCTTGGACGGTGACTTGCACTTTCCAGTACCGTCCATGAACAGGCTCAATCAAACCGAGCTTGCAACATTTTCAATTTTGCCGTGTTGGGCTTTCCTTAAGGATTTTGTTTTTCTCTTTTTCATGGAAAGATTAAACCTTAAAGATCCTGTAACTCATTTTTTTAAGGTTTTTAGCTCAAATGAAGATTTATCAATATTGTAAGATCCAAAAAGCATTATTTGTAAATATTACCAAATTTACATTTCAATTAAATAAAGGGAGGTAATTAGAAATTTAGTTTCTATAAAGTCTGAGCCAATTTTTTCAATAAGAAATAAATGCATATATTTTACTGATTACATATAATGCCTATAAACATTTGCAGTACATATTTTACATATCCTTGGATGTTTGAAAATTGTTTAAGAAAAATATTTATATACATATATAGAATTTCACTTAAGTGTGGTTATATATCCTCGTCACTCTTTCACTCAGTACGTGTACGTCGTAGAGACACAGGGCATCGGCAGATAATTTGAAGACTGGGGACGGCGAAAAAAGATCGGAACTTGTGCTGCGGACCAGCTGCCGATGTCCTGACCAAAGCCGAGGGGAATGGTCCTACAAAGTAGGCTCTTGGGTCGACGAAGATGGTGTGCTAAGGTGCGTGAGTCCTTAGCACGGTTAGACGGCTTGAATGGCAGGCCTTTTGCTGGCTTCAACAGCCCTTTCAGCGCTACCCTTTCATATTGTCTCAGGTTACTGTACATTTAAAAGGTTCTCATTGACCGCCGTTCAGTGACCTACTTTTGGCTCAAAATTCATATCTTTGGCTTATACTCTGTGAAAATTGCACAGAGGTAAATTATCACCACTTTGTGCTTAAAAATTAACTCTTTAATGGCATGACTGATGACATGTCCGGGGTCCGAACGCGACGGCGGAAGCTGCATTCTAGGCCCTTACTGGCGGATGGACCCTCATTAAGCATACATACATGGTTACATCCCAGGATCTTTAATGTCAACATGTTTTACAAAGACACTTTTCTTTTTCTGCTTTCAGGGAGGTACGATAAACATAAAACTCATAATTACTGATGATCAACACAATGAGGTAAATGTTTTCGTGGTTAATATGCATAATAAAATGTCTAAACAAGACCAAGAACTTCATCGTCTGAAGAAATTGGTTTTGCATGATCATTTCTGTTTATTGTTACAAATAACACGTATCGAATAACCTTCGGAAATAGTTGTATCCGAAACGGTTACAAACCTTTGATCTGACAGTATATATTATCACCCCTCAATTTTTGTGTAATGTTAATTTCCCATAGGCCACTAGCAGTTATTTATACTTTTAATGTAAGTGTACCAATTGGGACTAAGAAATTTGTACTGTAACAGGGTAACAGTATTTTATACAGTGTAAAATCTGGTCACATGGTCTATTTTCTAAAGAAAAGAAAGTAAAATCATCACAGTAAGTATTCGGGGTAATAGATAAATAACACATGGGTTTGTGAGTAACAGTAAAACTATCATCCATTGTAAAAATACTGTTACCCGAGGCGAACAGTATTTTCCTCGGGATGATATTTTTACTGTTACCCACAAACCCATGTGTTATGTATAAACTGCTACTTATGACTTTTGTTACACATGTTTGAGATAATTTTCACATGTGACAGTCATTTTAATATTAATTTGATTATTCGTTTAATTGATATTCGATGAGAATTATATATTCGATAAAAATTATGTGTTGATTTACTTTCAGATTAAATATGAACATTTAGTTTATATCCTTGACGTAAACGACAATGCACCAAAGTTTTACAATTTGCCTTACACATTAAAGATAGATGAGGTATTGTATTAAACATAATTTTCTATCTATCTATGTCGGTATTACTAGACTTTATTTGCATTTGAATAAGCATGCATGTTTGTACATGCACGTACTTAGATACTTATTTGAATAGACTTGTAGAGTATATATGCTGTTTGATAACCGTAATATAAAGATTATCAAATATTTTTTATATTTCCCGCCAAGTTATTTGTTATTAGTTTACGTCCGCTGATATAAGTCATTGTCGGTGGTCATGTGATGACAAAAATTTATATTCGTAGTTACCCTGCAACAACAACAACAACACGATTGTTTACGATAAGATCAAAGCTAACGATATAGACAATGGCAAAAATGGAACAGTAACTTATTCTATGAAGGTAACTATTGAAGTCATTTCAGTTTCATGTGATATATAATTTATATGTTTAATATGTGTCATTTGATAAACCTGCCATGTATATAATATATACAATCTATGAATCTTTGACTCGAAAATATGTCGCAGTATGAGCATGTTTAACAATGAAAATAGAGTATAAATAACCCACATTGCAAATATAGTTTTAATGTTTAGAAAAGATGATAAGGAGTTTTAAGCTGAGGGTAAAAAAAGCAGGATATTTAATTAGTACTACACAAGTTAGTACCACATAAGTTGCGTCTTCGCGGGGAGGGGATAAACAAAACATATCACGCGACCACAGATACAGGGTTTAATCTTTTACTAGTTTCCAAAATGAAGGGACTCTGGACTGTTCGTTCGCATTTGTTGTCAGGTGCAAAGTTGATTTGACTCCCTCCCTTTACTTTTGTAGCCAATAGGGCACCTATAATCAATATAGTTTAATTAACTGTCATAATTTTTGTATGTTATGCGTTCTAGAATCTATTTTTTAGGTTTTTTTTTCACCGGTAAAAAGCATAACATAAAAGCGGCCATATCGAATCTAAATTAGGTGTAAACACAGAACTGTATCTGTGTTTACAAGTGAAGTATGTAAATGAAACACGTCCTAATGGTTTTTTCCTTTTGCGTCTTTTTAAAGGTAATGTTCTCTGTGAAATTTATAATGCAGATATAATATCAATTAACTTGAATTAAGACATTGTACAGTACCTTGCTAACGAGGCGGTGAGAGGGGGATATCTTATGCAGGTCTGTGGCGGTTCACTTTACTTCAAATAGTGTCAGTATGAAGAAGAAATCTTAAAATGACAAGTTTTTTTTTCAGTTTATCTTTTGATGAGGACTGTAATAAATCATTACTTGAGCGCGATGAAAAGCTTATTAATTCAAATGAAATAATCTTATTAGTCCGTTTTAAAGTGTATAAAACTTTTCACTGACGCTTACAGTTAACACATTTCTTGTTTTAATTTTGAGCGAAACAAATCCAAAATGCCTGTATAACAGAAATATGTTGGGACATTTTCTTAAAGCTGAACAGCACATAAACAAAATCATTGCTAAGCGGTTAAAACCCTACTTAAAATAGCATAATATTTTGTTCTTGAACATTTTATTCTGTTAACCAACTGTGTTCATGTGTTAAATAACAGAAACATTTGAATCGAGAATCGACCATAAAATAATGGAACCGATATGACTTTACCATATATGTACTTTATGAAACTATTTCATAAGATATGGCTTTAGATATTTATACATGTACATCACAACAGCAGGTGTCAAGTGCTGTGTTGCAGCCGTAAAAAGTTGCCCCGTACTTCACTTCAGTGTTGTTACCTTTTTTTCTGGTGCTTCGGGATCATTGAGTCCAGCACTTTTAAGTGTTGAGAATTTAGAACCGCTCAAGCCGGTGCAAGGGGGGTGTGATGGATGTTGCACGTTATCATTATCTCTTATTTACAGCCTTAATCAAGCTGAGTCTGCAATGTTCATGTAATTTTGCTGTTGTTAATGCTTCCGAGGGATCACTTTTTTCAAGACATTTAAAGCCTTTGATAACTTTACTTTAAAATCTTACCAAAATGGTTTTCTTTCCTTGAAATACATTGACAGCGTTTCCAAATGAACAGCTTATCATGTTAGAAAAGGTATTTGCTGCTCTTTTTATTCACAGCTTTTAATGTACTGAATTTAAGACACAAAAAGATTATAACTTTAAAATATCGATTGATCTATTTTTCAGCCAATAGCGCAGGTGAGATCATTTTTTCACTTTTCTCCTGAATGTTTTTTTGTTTTTTTTTTTGTTTTTTTTGCGTAAAAGTATTTAATTGATTAAAGTGACATTATGTTCATTTTTTACCGTCAAGTTGAGCTAAATTGGTAATTCATTTCAAAAGATTGACCTTTATAATGGTGATTGACCAGTTATTGGTAAAGAAAAATGTGTTGGATAAAATATGAAAAGTACCTAAATTACAAAAGGACTGCCCCTCTCTATATTCCGAACGATATTTTCAGAAATTTTAGTGGGTCTAGTGTATTATTGATTAATTTAACATAGTATATTTTAAAATTTAATACATTTGTGGCAAACTATTTAATGTTAATTTGACTTTTCCCTCTACAACAACCATTTACACTTGCATGGGCATAATGTCACTTTAACTGTTTATTTAAATCAACATAATTATTTCCGTACTTTTTAATGCAATTCTCAACATTTCTACCATTGCCGTTTATTGCTATTTTATTATATTGACATACAGTATTATAAATTATTTGTCGTTAAAGGTTATTTTTCTGTTCCCCATTTGTTCAATTGTATTACAGAGCAACATATCACCACTTGTCATTTAATATTGTGCAGTTTTGTTAACTCTCATTCTTGATTTGTATCTTATGGTATGTAAATGTGTACTACTTTCAGACTCCTGAATTGGAGGACGTGTACAAGAAAAAATTTTCAATTGACGTATCCACAGGTGATGTATCTTTAGAAGAATGTTTAGACTACGAAACTAATAGTTATTACCAATTTAATGTAATTGCAACGGTAAGTATCAGTTACATGTCATTTATAATGTCAGACATGCCTTGCTCTTCTAAACTGTTTTCTATAAAATAGTTAAATTTTGTGAACATTTATTTGCCATTTTTAATCTTAAAATCATATTGCTTATGTCTGATCTTTTGTTGAAATTACATGAATAAGTATGTTAATTAGTTTCAGAGCTTTGAACTGAGTGTGGTGCATTAACAAGAACACGATTGTGCAATTTATCGTATGATAAGATTTTAACATTTTCTTGCAAACAAATCGAAAACAGTCTGTGGCGGTATCATTTATTTTTTATTAATTTCAAGCGTGTTTAAAAAGTGAGTAAGAATTGTGTGAAATAGATAAAATATTGTGCATTTGACTTGCAGGATGGTGGGCCAAACGGAGGTAAAAGCAGTAGTGCTGAGCTTATAATCCGTGTTCAAGATGTGCAGGACATGCCTCCTTTCTTTACTGGTTTACCGTACATGATGACCGCTCATGAAAATATCAAAAATGTAAGATTCCCCCAATCAAAAAGCAAAAATACAAAACAAAACATTCAGGAGACATAAATATAACGCTTCAATTGGCACCAGATGACTGCTTCACGGATCTCTTTTACCCTGTAACCCCACTAGTTTGAAGCCCTGAACTAGATCTAGCTTTTTTGGACATATAAGCCCGGTTGATCATATAACATGTTAACTTTTAGCATTGCAATGGTAATTTATTTAGTTAAAGGTGTCCGCATTACATACATGATACATACCATAGATAATTTATAAAAACATAGAAATTTTAATTATATATAATTAATAATACCTTTCTGCAAAATGTTTTTGAACAGTTTTCCTTGTTAAATTTCTCGAAATCTATCTCCTTGGGAAATATAAAATGTTTAATTTTTAGAATGCATCACTGATTAAAGTCGCTGCTAAGGATGGTGATACCGGTGTATCTAATAGAGTGTCTTACAGTATATCAGGTATGTTTGTACCATAGTTTGGAGACCTTTCTGCTGCAAAAGTGAGTTAAATCGTATACATATACATGCACAGTGCGTTACCTGGGTGAAGGTATTAGTTACCCGCACTCCAGAGCATGCCCATTGATTGGCTGATTTTGTCTCGGGTTTCCTTATTGTATCGATAAAGAAAGGGATAGCGATAAAAATATCATATTCAAATGCTCATTCGTTGGGTTTTTTTCAGGGGTTTCATATTGTGACAACAGGGAATGTGTTTCTATTTTTGACTATGATACAAAAGAGAAAGAACATTAAAACACTCGACAACCTGATTTATACTCGGTGGGGCTATGCCTCCTGGCACAAATCAGATAGTCTCGTGTTTCGAAGTTCTTTCTATTACTTGCATTCATAAATTGATTTTGTTTCTAGAAATAAGAAGTACAGTATTGGCTTTGATAAGTAGAATAATTCGTAACATGATATCTTTATTTTCATAAAAAATATATGAAATACTCAAAAGTATGAACATTCTTTCATAACGTATTTATGCAGAAATGTGTACTTTTCATGCTTTTATACTATAGATAGCAATTGTGACAATGTCTTCAAAATAGACAGTGAGAATGGAGTTATATCGACGAATATAATACTTGACAGAGACAGTGGAAAGATACAAAAGGAATCTGGCATCTGTGTATTGACTGTAGAAGTGAGTGTCATACTGTTTTATTTCAAAATATTTTCTTGTTTATTTCGTTACCGTACATGTTCTGCTGTTTATGCATATACATGTATAGTGCTTTTCATGCTGTTTTATCAATTTTTGTAGAGGTACCTAATTTATTTATGAAATATGAACGCATGTACAGTATGAATATATACGTACATATACAAGTTATGAACATAAAATAATCATACAGTGATATATTTGAAACTGTAGAAATTCAAGGTAGCAAAAATCAATCTGAAACCACTGCATCCCAGAATCTTACATATAAAATTATGTTATAATTTCTTTCTGAAATTGTCCACTTGTTAAAGTTTGCTTGTTTCTTGGAGACAAAAAGTCTCCATAATTAATAAGTGATTTATACAAAGAGGCTCTCTAATTATTAAGTGGTTAAGACAAAGAGTCGCCATAATTAATAAGTGATTTAAACAAAGAGGCTCTATAATTAATAAGTGAGTTAGACAAAGAGTCCCTATAATTAATAAGTGATTTAGACAAAGAGTCTCCATAATTAATAAGTGATTTAGACAAAGAGTCTCCATAATTAATAAGTGATTTAAACAAAGATTCTCCATAATTAATGAGTGATTTATACAAAGAGTCTCTATAATTAATAAGTGATTTAGACAAAGATTCTCCATAATTAATAAGTGATTTAAACAAAGAGGCTCTATAATTAATAAGTGAGTTAGACAAAGTGTCCCTATAATTAATAAGTGATTTAGACAAAGAGTCTCCATAATTAATAAGTGATTTAAACAAAGATTCTCCATAATTAATGAGTGATTTATACAAAGAGTCTCTATAATTAATAAGTGATTTAGACAAAGAGTCTCCATAAATAATAAGTGATTTATACAAAGAGTTTTTATAATTAATAAGTGATTTAGACAAAGAGTTTCCATAATTAATAAGTGATTCATACAAAGAGGCTCTATAATTAATAAATGATTGATACAAAGAGTCTCTATAATTAATAAGTGTTTTATACCAAGAGTATCTTTAACCTTTTAATAAGTGATTTAAACAAAGAGTCTCTATAATTAATAAGTGATTTAGACAAAGAGTCTCTATAATTAATAAGTGATTTAGACAAAGAGTCTCCATAATTAATAAGTGATCATTTTGCGAAAAATGGCCGTTTTCATTAAAAGCCTCCTGTAACAAGTTCAAACTGCTATGAAACTATAAAAAATGCTTCACTACTGATGGAACCTGGCTAGACCATAACCTCTGTAAGGGCATGCTCAATTGTAAACGTCTCAAAATTGCCAAAAATCACTATTTTGCATAGTTTTTGTTTTTTTATCAAAACTGATTTTGATGTGCTGCAACTTCTCAATGACTGGGGATAGAGTAAAAAGCTTTTCAGCGACGGTTACTAAATACCATAAGATCGACCTGAGGCCATTTTTAGCCTGTCACATGTCCAAATTTTTCTTGGCGATGAGGGGGACTGCCGCCCCCATTCAAACCCAACAAACAGAAGGGGAGATATCAACCTTCTGGCAACCCCCTGATGTAACTTTTGGATGGGGCGGTGCCGAAAAAGTGGTCACTTTTTTAACAACATTTCTCAAACGAAACACAGTGTTTGGAGCCTTAATAGGGCTTTTTTTTTTCACTGTCTGGGCCTCAAAAAAGGGGGAGGAGACAAAAAGCCGTCAAAACACGTCTTTATGATGGAAAAGGTTAATTCATAAGTGATTGATAATTCATAAGTGATTTAGACAAAGAGACTCCATAATTAAAAAGTGATTTTTGAGAAATATGCATATAAGCGTAACTTTCTTATTACTTTGATTTCATAACATATTCTTTTCATCTAATAAGGCAAAGGAATTAAATACGTCAAAGAAGAAACAATGGGGAAATACAACCACAACAACAAATGTAACAATAACTGTAAATGATGTTGACGACAACAATCCAGAATTCAATGAGACTTACTATAAAGCAACTATAAAAGAGAACGCACCGAATAATGTTCGGTTAACAATGAATCAAACATTACTCGTCAGTGACAATGACCAGGTGAGTGTTTAAACAATAAACATCCTAAGTAGATAACATGTATTTCTTTAAAGTTTATGTAAAATAATTATACCTAACTTATTTTTGTTACACAAACAATTTGTGTTCAAAACAAGTAAACATTATGCAAGCGTTGTTCGGAAAGTTTGAATATTTTGAAATATTTCTAATAACAGTCATTTAATATTGTTGAAATTGGTTTGTGAGTAACTTCAAATGCCACAAGTAGATGTATAGGAAAGAAAATGAAATCTCCCTTTTTTACAAAGATATACAAGTTTTCATAGTTACAAGGTAATTGGCAAAATACAAAAACGTCACTTTGTAAGGTGACGTTGGGATGTCACTTTCGCTAAATTTCCTATCATTCAATTTTTGTGTTGTAAAACATGGCGTTGGTAAATAACATTCAGTATCGAATTGTAGTGAGTGTTTGTGTTACACTCAATAAATCTCCATCATTAACTTATAAAATGAAAATATATTAAGACACGAAGCTTCTTTAATTAATACAGATAGAGAAAAAATACTCGAGTTAGACCTTTATGAAGTCAATCCCTAGCCCCCATTGAATATAGAGTTTTTTTCTTTTTTCTATATATTTTGGTGGCCGTGCAGTGGATTAAGTTGATACGGTTTATGAACTTTCTGAACAATTTCAACTTGGGATAAATAACAATTTCAACTTGGGATAAATTCTTTTTAATGAGAACTAATGTATTGAAACCAAGACGACGATACATACAGAAAGTGTGTGTATCTTATAAAGCGACGTTATTTTCTTTACCTAAGATGTTGCTTCGGATTACATGTATATATGTACAGATTAAATATGAATAATGTTGAAGTTTACGAATATGTGCTTTTACTAAATGTCCCGTGATTATTTGGCATTACATTCAGAAAGTACAAAACTTTCCAAACAAACCTCGTATGTTTTGAAAGTAAACTTGATATGTGAATCTATCAAAACCTGTTTCACACAAGAAGCATTAGGTGCAATACTTTTACTGGTGGTGGAGCAACGTTTAACAGTATCAGCTGGTGTTCATGTTTGAAATGTAGATTTATGTTTTATGCCAAATAAAACCTGTTTCATAAATAGTATGTTGATTCTTATTGATTTTATGTATTTTGCTAATTTCTGGTTTTTTGAAAGTGTTTACCTCTGCAGAAGGAATATTTGTCATTTCCATTTCCTTGTTTCATTAATGTTCCTTGCTATGATTTTGATTTAATTTTGTTTTCCCGATAAAAACAACATGATTCATGTCCCAGCTGAAATATAAAACTTTTCAATTCACTTATTTAATTTCAAGAAGCATTCATCAAATATTTGTTATTTTAAACTTTAGAAAATGCTATAACAACAATATACGTGTATTTTAGGATCAGAAAAATAATAAGATGAACATTGTAATAAGAAATGAGGATAACTCATCGTGTACAGACTTTACCGCTTCACCAAACGTTATACAAGGCTCTGGGAATATCCAGATATTAGTGAGCAACAACAGCTTCCTTGATTACGAAAAAATCCAGAACACTACAATAAAGGTGAATTTGGTTTTTTAATTTGTTCCAAAATCTTAATGTTTGTATTGTTGTTGTTTTTGTTTTGTTGATGTTGTTGTTTTTTCTAGAATTGTTTATTTTGTTTATTTAAACAAACAACTATTAATGGCTGGCTTTTGTTGGAAGTAAATGTTATCATCGCCATCTAATGTTCATCATTTTTGAACTATTTTTTGAGCTCTTGTCTTCATGTTTTTTTGAAAAAGTTGTATGATATTGAGTCTACCATTGGGAAATATTATTGATGTTTAAGGGTATATTGAAGAAAGAAATATGATTTACATTCGTAATTAAGCACCAATAAAAAGAAAATTTGTAGGAAGCTTAAGGTGTAAAATGTAATTTAGTTTCGTCTTCAATATACATGTACACGATTAATAGAAGATTCGTTTTTACATTGATACACAAATGGCGTTAGAAGTGTATGTTAAATCTTATTTATTACAAATTGATGTACATTAACAAAAGAAAAATCTTTCTTGATAGTCAAGTAGAAATACAATGACCGATATATACTAAATACAATGACCGATATATACTAGTACCTCATATAACCTCTATTAACCTTTTTTTTCATTGTATTTCATTTAAGTTGACTGTGTTTATGTAAAATGTAAAAATAGTTTTTAAATTGCAATTAATGCTATAAATAAGTCTCTTGTTAAAGCGATATCACGGGAGCATAATACAAGTTGTTGATTTATTCCTTTAATTCTCTAATCATGTTATGAATTTGATGACTGTTCTCTTTCAGGTTATCGCAACTGAGAATATAAACTCTACAAAAACCGCTGTAGCTATTGTTTATATTAGAATTATAGATGTTAATGACATGACCCCACATTTCAACAGCACCTCATTCAAACTTTATGTGAAGGAAAATAGTAAAAGTGGCACAAAAATCTCTCAAATCACGGTAACTATAAATACATTTTTAAAGAGATTCATTATTTTTTCTGATGATAATGTTGTTTTTATTTTGAATTGGTATGAATTTTATGCGTGTATAAGAATGTTATTTCCACTGATTGATTGATTGTTTGTTTAATTGATTGATTGATTGCAGGCTACAGATAAAGATTGTTCTCCAGAATTTAGGAAGTTGAGTTACAGTATAAATGGAGGAAACGGCAGGTTAGATATTTTGAAGCCTGTTTTGTTGCAAAATTGACAACACATGAAATAAATTTTGCATTAAGTGATAAGAAATTTATAAAATAACATCTATTTGATGCAATGGTTAACAAATTTAAAGATAACTATTTAAACAATGAGTACTATTTAACAACAAATTTATTTATTTATTTTATATATTTACTTATTTATTCGATAGTTTGCTTCTTCATTTATTTATTGTTATCTTTTTTTATAATTTTAATTTACCGTTCAAAACCAGTTGAAACGTTTTGGTATTTTTCAGATTCATTGTAGATATAGACACCGGATATATCTTAGTAAATTGTTCTGATTGTCGCGCCCAGCTTGACAGGGAAAAACAGAATATTTATTATATGACATACACAGCTAAAGATATGGATCGGAGAAGTGATTCCGCTTCACTGATTATTGAGGTCACAGACGAAAACGACAACGCACCTAAATTTCTGTCTAGTATTTACAAAGTAGTTGCAGACGAAAATGATGCGAAATATCTAAATAAGACATCACCTTTGATAAAAATAGAGGTAAATCACTATTTAACTTTTTTTACAATTTTATATTCTATAATCACATGTCTAAAGTCGCTATAGTATTTATATACAATGTATATGAAACAGATTTTGGTAAAATATGGTATATTATCAATTCATTTTTTGCATTAAAATATAGGTTTTCTTTTCTTTCTTTTTTTTTAAATATGAAAAAAAGATACATGTCTCTTCAATGGCAACTTTTCTTGCCCTTATTGTGTGTTATAACAAATTTAAAAACTAACATTTAAAATAATGTTAAAACAAATAATGAATGATATCATAAATTCAAACTATATGTAACGTATATGAGATCATTTCGATCATTCAAAACACGTGATAAGGATGTTATACCTCTACAAAAACATTGTTTGGGGAATTCATATTTCTATTTCAATGCAAAATATAGTCAAGTTATAGAGGCTTTAGTATATTCTAACTTTGTACAACAACAAAACGTGTAATCACGTTGTTTTTTACTGAGTCAACTAATATACACTTAACGAAACTTATAAGTACCCCAAAAACAAACTTGCATTAAACACGTGTTATTTTAAAAATATGCACATTAGATAATGATTATATGTAATGCCCCAATTTGTCGTCTGCTCAAAATGAATTTATGCAAAATTAACCATGCAAAACCATACTTTGAGAGTGGTCGTTGAAAATCGAAAACGAGCACGTGCACTTCGTGCAACTGACCATAATGACCAATATAACATGTATCGATAGAGTGTAGATGTGCCTAACATAAAAACACAAAACATGGCTCGTATGTCGTTGCAAGAACGTGCAATCGCTATTGGACTTTTAGAAGCCGGAGCGTCTCATGAGCAGGTATGTGGTTCAATACCCATTGTTCGTTTTATTGCATTTCAGTGCATGCCCGTTGCATATCAGTATTATGAACATTGTAATTCTTTGGGTTTTTTTCTAGGTTGCCAGAAGAATGCGTGTTACAAAGAAGTCTATTACTAGACTGGCCTCAAAGTACAGACGTACCGGAAGTGTCGCCAATCTTCCGAGGAGACAACGTGGTAGAGTGACAACACGCAGACAAGACCGGTTTATGGTTTTATCGCACCTCCGCCAGCGGAAGCGCACATCAATAGAAAAAGCAAGGGCGACATTTGGGACTCACGGACGGCCAATCAGCAGCAACACAGTCCGATCGCGCCTCAGATCCGTTGGTATTCGTGCCAGACGGCCGTATCTGGTAATTGTACTGCGTGGACACCACCGTCGTGCACGTGTCCGCTGGGCGAGGACTCATCTGAGATTCACACGTGCGAACTGGGCACAAGTCTTGTTACCGATGAGTCCCGTTTCAATGTTCAGGGAAATGATGGGAGAACCCGTGTGTAGCGCCGACGTGGTGAGCGTTATGCTGATGCGTGCGTCGTAGAAAGAGATCAGTTCGGCGGCGGCTCCGTAATGATATGGGCTGGAATTTCACTCCAAGTGAAAACACCACTTGTTGCAATTCAAGGGAACTTCAATGCAGCTCGTTACCAGAACGAAATTCTTCGCCCCGTTGCCATTCCCATTATTCAACAGAACAGGGGCATGACACTAATGCAAGACGGGGCAACGAGCCACACTGCACGCAGAACACGGGAACTCTTGCAACAGCAGAATGTCAACGTACTGCCCTGGCCGTCAAAGTCGCCCGATCTCAACCCGATTGAGAACATATGGGATGAACTTGACCGGCGTGTCTACAGAGGCCCGATTGCAAACACCAACCAAAGAGAACTACACAACCGACTAATGCAAGAATGGGCTAATATCCCAGCGGCTTATTTTAGAAATTTCATTATGTCAATGCGATCACGGTGCTTAGCATTAATTAACGCAAACGGTGGACATACGCGATATTGACTTCATAAGACTCTGGTGCGAATTTGTGTACTGGTAGTGATCTCGGTTTATGATCTTTTTTGTTAAGTTTGAGTTGTTTATAAATGAATTTTTTGTTATGAAATGTTAAAAATATGATTAAACTTTACACAGCATAAGTTTTAAATATTTGCGTAAATCATATCATAATTTATGCTGAAAACTATAACTGGGGTACTTATAAGTTTCGTTAAGTGTACCTGTGTTGATATACGATATAAAAAAAATTATAATCGAAAATACGTCTTTCATGACTCAAAGTTTAAGCAATGCGGTAAAACCCGATAAGTTATGTCAAGTACAGTAAACTAAGAATTGTATTTCTTTACTTTTTTAAAGGCCATCGATGCAGATAAAGAAAACACAAACAACAGTCTTGTTACATATTTCATTACAAGCACTTCACCCAGCAACTTGACCAGCAATTTTACTATTAATAACAGTACTGGAAATATGTATCTTCTAACCATGTTGGATTATGAACGACTCTTGGATACCCAAGGCGAGATTAATATCACCGTAGAGGCACGCGACAATGGGAAACCAGCACTTAACAGTACGACCATTGTAAACTTGCACGTTCAGGTTCGTATTTAGCTTATAGGTTTTGTTTCACTTCATTTTCGATTTATTAAAATGTTATACTGCCAAAATTACATGTTGCCTACTTTTATTCCTTATTCGTACTTTCAAAAACAAAATTTCTACATGTAATAAGTTCTAAGTTGTTTAAAGCTGAAATTGATAGACTTAAAATGGCATTATGTCCATTATAGGGTATATCGTAAGTGACCGGGTTAAGTCAAAATATTTATATTTTGCCATAATTCCATCCTATAATTTACTTCGCATAATTGATAACTAACTCAGGTGGCCCTCAGGTGCTTTTATATAGCAAAAAGATATATATTTTATCCTAAACATTTTCCAGTATTCACTGTTAGTCAATCAGCATTACAACTGACAATCATCAGAAATATGCAATCAATTCTGTTCAACTTGACTATAATAAAATTAATATTATGTTAATTACTTTAACCTCAACTAGATCATCGGTGATAAAACGTAATCTCTATATGCTATTTTATTTGAGAATATATAATCCAGTTAGGCAGTACGCAAAAACAAAAATGATTATTTTATTTTACATGAAACTTTGCTTTTGATTATCAGAAGCAAACACTAAGAAATTAATTGATTTTATATTTGGTTACCAAATTCAATTTGAAAGTAAAGAGACAGGCAGCGATGTAAGTGAAAACCCGGCTAGGTGCAAAGAAAAGTTCTATAGACCGTTTTTACGTTACGATATTTCCATAGAAACGAAAGTAGCATTTCGCGCATCCGCATTCTGCATAGGGCAATAATCAATAATGAAAGAATAGATTTTATCAGTATTCAATAACTTCATTAACAATTGAATATAAGCTAAATGATTTACGTAAAGTTTAGAACTGTTTATTTTGATAAATAAGCGGTGCAATGTTGAATTTAAGTAATCGACATAAACATTTTTGTATTTAAGCATTAAATCAGGGACTTAGAGACTTGAAAGACCCTGCGTGATGCATTCGATTTTGAAATACAAGCATTGGAATTGAACCATCTCGTGCATTTAAGTATGCTGAAAATTATGATGGACATTTTCGGCCATTTAAAACCCGCGAAAAATTTATTGTTTTATCATAAAATATCGCGTGCTACTTTTACACCCAAGAGATGTTTTCTCGAAATCGTACAAAAATGTTGCGAGGAGCGTATAGTAGACATTTCCCGGTATAAAGAAATCGAGACTTAATGCTCAAACTCGTTTTTTTATCAAAACAAAATATCACAGATTAAAATGGCTGCCTAGAGTAGGAATATGTTTGCGTAGCTTAGTCTACTTTGGAGACAGAAAATTTCGCGATTTCCTTCGTAAACTCGACTTTTTACGACAGAAATGTGACAGAAACACTGAGACAGTGTTTCTTTCAGCCGCGACATTTTTGACAGAAATTACAGCGCCAAGTACGTAAACTAGTGTTTTGATAGTTATAATAGATATAAGAAAATATGCTGGATTAACTAATTCAGTGATCCATAAACGCAAACAAACAGCTCTCTCTTAGACAACTTTTCCATCAGTAATTTGAATTGAAACAACAGGGTGTTTCTGATGAAATTTTATTGCATATCTGACAGGATTATCTACTGTTGACACCGACGCTAGAACCTGTCCATGTAAGAAAAGTCGCGTGCTTTAAAATTGGGAGATATAAAGGGAGATAATTGAATTCAATACAATTGTACTTTCCCCTTCTTGGGATCAGATAAAGATACAAAAGCGCATGTAAATTATTATAGAAATGAGAGAATAAATACAGACATATCACCAAATCGATATGCAAGTCCAATAACGGCACAGCGCCTGGCAGAACAGTCATGAAAGCATAGCCACCACTAAAATGTTGGTTTTAGAACAGCTTTATAATACAGTCACAAACTGCACTTCACATTGAAACTGGCTCAACATTCGCATATAAAGAATTTGTTCTCTGTTATCATGTTTCACAAATCAACGATGACATTTTTATTTTTTATTGTATGGAATATAACTTTTGATATTCAAAGTATCAATTACTTAAGCAATTTATCGATCACAAACTCCTCGGTACCAACGCTATCTTGTCAAAGATTTTTATGAAAGTATATATTTTTCAGTAACTAATTGTATAAAACAGCTGCTCCTCTATGTTTATTTATTTAAAAGTGTTTGTTACGCTTGAGTAACTATTTAGTAAAATAGCCTTTGAAACAAAGCATTCTGTGGAGTTCCATAAGTGTGTTAGGATCCCGCATTTGTTTTCGTATTTTGTCATGATATATTTAACGCTACAAACATAAATTGTAAACATTTTAAATATTACAAACTGTGTCGCGATTGTAATTGCTGCTGTAATTCTTTCTTTTTTCTGTTTTTTTTAAACTTATTTAGTATCTTTTGCTCGGCATATACATATAACACATAAATATATATGAGCATGAAGTCATCATGAATATTTATTTGTGTACTCATTTTAAAGGACAAAAATGACAACACCCCAAGGTTCAACTCCACTTATTATGATGCTACTGTGTCTGAGGATGCAGTCTCAACGGAAAATAATTGTAAGTAACTTATTCAACATTACTGACTTATTATTCATGAATTCATGAAATATATTTGTGGTAACAATAATCCGCTTGAAACAATCTTATAAAATAAAACCAATGCACTTTCAACTATTGCGCCACGTGATGTTCAAATAGAAATCATTATTGCATCCAATATTATCAATTTAGCCTCTTTTTCATTTTTAGAGTCCAAAAAGTCCATATCAAATCCATCTCACTTTTCAAATAGCCTGGTTTTCATTTACATACTAGTAGTCCAAAAGTGTCGTATCATATTCATATGGCACCTCATCTAGCATCGTTTCATTTTTGAGAGTTCAAAATCTTATTGTAACTGAAGTAACTGAAGTAAAAATGTCATGTCAAAATGTAAAAAATTGGTGGTGTCAAATAAAGAGGTCATTAAGCATGGTTGAGAACAATACTGAATATACTGGACTGGTACACAGCTGCAAAAAAACGTATATCAGACTCGACTAGTGTTGACAGCTGTGTACACGTCCAATATAATTCACTTATATACTCAAGAATGTATAACAATCTGTAGTATCAACAAAAGTTACTCTTTTAATGTTATACTCCTTTTGCTCACTTTCTGTTTTCAAGCTGCTGAAATTTCATATGTTGACTTATAGGTGGGAATAACAAATAATATACGTTTAAAAACGTTTTAAGAAAACTGCCTAATATGTAAAAAACTGCTTCATTCTTTTTCATTATTAACATGTTTCTTACAAATGTCGACATATTACGATAATTTATATAAAATTGATAAAATGTGTGGCAAAAATGTTAAAATCATTATGTACGCCAAATATTAAATAACTTCATTGGCATTGTGTAACATTAATAAGCCAGGTGATTGTGATCAAAACTGATCGTTAAATACAATCAAATAAAATTAACTTATGATTTTTTCTTGCATTTATTTACTTGATACTGATTTCAACAGACACTAATGTGGCACAAGTGTTTGCGTCCGACAATGACGGCACAGAGCGGAACAAGTTGTTAAACTACATCATCATAAAAGGTGGATCCGACAGATTTACGATCGATGCAGGGACGGGAATGGTCAAAGTCCAGCTTGGTGTTACTCTGGACAGAGAAACAACATCAAATTATACCCTTACCATCCTGGCAATCGATCAAGGATATCCACCAAGAAACGGATCTACAAATATGTTGATAATGGTCACTGATGTAAATGATTCTCCACCACGTTTCAACCAATCAGAGTATGCTGCGTCTGTCAAAGAAGATGCAAATCTTTCAAAGGCTGTAGTAACTTGTCCAGCTACAGATTTAGATTTAAATCATACATTACAATACAATATTACAAACATTGAAGCGTTTGATGAAACAGGGGGAAATGTTAATATATCAGTCGTGTCTGTAAGTTAATATTCATAACAATTTCTTACAAGTGTTGTTATTGTTGTTGTTCTATGTAAAATTACGTAGTCAATTAAAAATATTATGTATGTCACTGTTCAGAACTTACGCTTACGCTTAAATTTTATAACATACATTATATCAGTTATTGAAATGGTCAGTCCATCGCGATTTACAGGCGTTATGCATCTGATATTACATTAAGTTTTAAATAAATGTGTAAAATTTACGTTTTTATTTTCATTTCAACCAAACCACTGTAAAGGATTATTTTGGAATACATCAAAATAATGGAACAATCTTTGTAAAAGGCAAATTGGACCGGGAAACTGCTGCCAGAATTATTCTAATGCTTCAAGTGACGGATGTAAATGCTCAAAAAAACTTACCTCAAACTGCAAAAGGTATAGTACTTTTCTTATAAAATATTATATCATGCACACAAGCGTCACTCAAAATAATTTTGCAAACAATCTAATCTTGCGAAGAGGGAAGTGATTTTTGAGAATAAATCTGATTACTCAATTATGAAAGCCTTGAGCACATACGTTTTATATTCAGGATCACCTGAGCTAAAGGTTATGTCTTGATCATGTCAAGTAAAAACAAAAACTTGCTTACAATAGTTTAAATGTGATTATTTTATTTTATCGTCATCAAACTTTGTAAAATGTTTATATGAATGATCGCTCGAATGATTTGAAGATTAGTCATCTTTGGTCAATGGATGCGTAGATGGCACCTTTTTTTTATCAAAATCAAACGTTTGAAGAATGATTGTCTCTATGATATTTTGTTTGATTCTGAAGATTTATGTTTGGTCATTAACTAGTTTACCACGTCAAATCAAAGATAAACATTATCAACACTGTACAGAGATGTAGAAAAAACCTTGTTTAAAGCCTAAAGGTCACAATTTTAAATTGATGTTTTTCATAATTTGTAAAAATGTTTATATTAATGATAGTTCGTATAAGATTGAAAATGGCATATCTTGGGTAAAAAATATATATTGAATTTAGGAAAAACTTTTCTTATATTAGGGTCATTATTTTATTTGTTATTAATTTTATCATTTTTTTATAACGTTTTGATTCCATGATATAAATAAGTCAGGATAAAATGATAGTCAACTTGGGTAATGAAATATTTCATTAAGTCAATTAAAAGTAAAGCCATGGTAACAATTTTTAAGAGTTAAACTTTGGGTCAACACTAGGCCAAAATATTAAAGCTATGCATAACAATGGTGCATTTATTCTATAATTTACCGTTTTGTTTGCATATAATAAATTTTTTGCAAGATTTTAGATATATTGATAATAAAAAACACTTGAGCAATAGAAGTAACCATTGCTTTCTTTCTTTTTTCCAATAAATTTTAGCTACCCTGACTATAACGCTTGAAGATGTTAATGACAACATTCCTGAATTTACCAACAAATCTTATCAATTCAGCATTATAGAAAATGCTCGGAACGAAGCTATTCTTGGAACAGTTAAAGCAACAGACAAAGATATAAACCGAACAATAACATACAGTTTGACTGGTGGAAGCACGGATAAGTTCAAGATAAATTCCAAAACAGGTATATTAAATCAAAAGTAAACGTCGCGAGGCCATGACTTACATTATACCCGTTCCCCCTCTACAACCTAAAACCCTTAAACACCATCCAAACGTCAAATGTATTGACAAAAATAAATTTTATGAAAAAAAAATTATGACTCTAAAATATTATAAAGGTATTTTACTCTACTTTCATTTTGCATAGAAATATCACTTGCATCTCAATTATCAGCGCATATATTCATCACTTTTTCACCGATCTTAACAATCCTGGTGTCAAATCTTAGATAAATGAATACTTATTAAGGAAACAACACTGACATATTCGCTGATTATACGTAGCAAGTAATATTTAAGCCCAAACTGTCAACAAATGAAACTCGGAAGAGATCTCATTGTACTGTTTTGGTAAAACTCTCACGAGTAAAACACACTAAATTCACAGTGAATGAATATTTCTTTGTCTTGCGTATTTAAATATGATAAAATAAAATTATTATTTGTAATTATGGTTCAATCAAAGCATCATATGAAACTATAACGCCCCTTTTTTCCTATATGTCAAATTCTCAATCCAAAATGAAAGTAAAATGGCGCAGCAGATTGTTTCCAAATGGAGTATTTTCATTGGTCACATGAAAATACTTAAAGGGAAATAATTTTATCATATTTAAATACGCAAGACAAAGAAATATTCATTCACTATAAATTTAGTGTGTTTTACTCGTGAGAGTTTTGCCGAATATTTCTTGCTACGTATAATCAGCGAAGGTGCCAGTGTTGTTTTCTTAAATAGTATTTATTTATCTAAGATTTGACACCAGGATTGTTAAAGATTGGTGAAAAATTGATGAATATATGCGCTGATAGTTTAGATGCAAGTGATATTTCTATGCAAAATGAAAGTAGAGTAAAATACCTTTATATTTTTTTAGAGTCATATTTTTTTTTTCATAAAATTTTATTTTTGTCAATACTTATGATGTTTGGATGATGTTTTAAGGGTTTTGGGTTGTAGAGGAGGAACCGGGGTATTGTTTAAGTCATGGCCACGCGACGTTTACCTGTATATTAAATGATATTTCACAAGCAATCAATGTCATGTAAACGATATCTTGATCAGTTCAGATTAGGGTTTAATACAGCCATATCCAATCTGATATTGAAATTGAATACGATGAAACAACTAAACATACAAGTTCAGTCATGTAATGTCAGTTCAAATTACCAGGTTCAAGATGATTTGAGCTCATATTAATTACACCCGGGTCCCGCAAACAAAGTTGGATAGGGTTACTGGAATCAGTTTGTCACTTGGCGAACCAGTGCGCACTTGTAATCTTGTGATGGCTACGATATAAGATGAATTTTCGTTCTTCTTTCCCTATTGTAAACTGTACTAGCAACTCTCGAAAAAAAGGAATTCCTTCTTTTATACAAAAGTGATAGCCTATTAAAAATATTTTATGATACGAAATAGGCTGAGTACGAATTAATGTGCATTATGAGTTGCATTATCAGAAAGTTACAAAAGAAATTTAGGTTGCTAGAAGTTTAATTGATATTTTATTCTTAAGACAAGTCTAATGTTTTCAAAAAATAATTTCATATCTCAATGTTCTTTATCTGGAAACGTTTTCATATTCCGTAAAATATCTTTAACTCTTTTTACAGGAATCCTGTCGAAAATTGGTGAATTAGATAGAGAAAATAGAACAGTTGTATACGTTAATGTCACTGCAACTGACAATGGTATTCCACCAAATTGCAAAGATGTTAATGTTAGTATTGTCGTAGATGATTTTAACGACAACGCACCAAAATTCGGAGGATTCAATAGAACTGTTTACCTAAATGAAAGTTCAGAGAATGGGACGATCGTTTTGACTATAAATGCATCCGACGCCGATGAAGGCCCAAATAGAAACATCACATATTTCATTGATCCCACTATAAATGCTTTCGAAATAAATAAAAGTACGGTAAGTCATTTACATTTCTATATATACATTATATATTTTTCAGTCTTGATTTGCAAGATTATTAATTTTGTTAATTTCCCTGATCCTGAATATATATATAATTCACCCGTTAAAAGGATCTTCAAGATAATGACGTTAATAACGTCGCTTGGTTACGACGTCAAAACAGTGTAAAGGGACGTTACTCTTATAACATTTTAAAGGGACATAATAATAAGCTATAATATTATTGTTATATATATATCAAAGTTATTTTGAATTCAATTCTGGTTTGATATATATATATATATATATATATATATATATATATATATATATATATATATATATATATATATATATATATATATAAAACAAGTATAGATAAATCTACTGATTCTTGTAATAAATCTAATACATCAACTTTTTTAATTGTGCCACAAATAATAAGATTAATTTATATATCGAATATCACATACAAATGACCCATTTGTTAACATCAATACTTTAATTGAAAATATTTGTTATCTAAAAGATGCAGTATTCCAATTTACTTAGTAGCATTTTCAAATAATATATGTCGACATATATTACTCTTTATGCACGCATTTCATTTTTGTCTGACCAACATAACACTCAAATCCAGTTTTTAGAAACATTATACATTTATTGAGACTTCAAACAAATACTTCCAAGTTCATAATATATGTAAACAATTTGTGTAGTTTTTACACCTAGATCTTTCAACAATATTGCAAGTATACTCTTTCAAATATCATGTCTGCATGTAAACCAAAAACATAAATAGTTTATGCTTTTGCGTTATGTAAGTACATGTAATATATATATTTCAAATATTTTTTGAAACTAAAATTGCCATCTGAGCTTTCAGCATAAGTCTTTAGCTTGCCGTAAAGAACAATAGCTTATACTTATAATACAACAGTACGAGAAAGTTTATAATAATATGAATCTGTTGTCACGCATAATAAAAGATATATTCCTTGGAATTGGCTACCCCCACCACACACACAGACACACACACACATACACACACACGGACACACGCGCACACACAAGCGCGAGTGCGAACGCACGCACACACACACAACGTATTTTTTTATATTTGCAATTAATACTTTATCAGCAGCATATATCTATAAAAAGTATATATATGCAAAGCATTTTCTGATTCAGCATTACATATGATTTATTTGTTATTACTTTCTTAAAGGGGGTGATCACGGTAAGAAATACAGTCGACCGGGAAAGCACGCCTGAATATAACTTGCATATATTGGCAAAAGATAATCCTGTTGACATAAAGGAACAAAAAAGCAATGATACAACTGTAAAAGTTATCGTAGAAGACATAAATGATAACTGCCCAAACTTCACAAAGGTCGAATACAGTGCTAGAGTTGAAGAAACCAAATCAAATGGAACACTTATAACTACTGTTTCGGCAAATGATAAAGACATTGGAGAAAACGCCAAGATTTCGTATAAGATTAGTAATTCATCGAATACAACTTTGTTTACAATCGATGAAAACAGTGGTATTGTTAAAGTAAAACACCATTTAAAAGACAAAATAGGATATTATAATCTTACAGTTATAGCATACGACCATGGTTATCCTCAATTAAATGGTACCGCTGAACTTTCTATCGAAGTTACCGACATAAACGACCATAAACCTAATATAACGAATATTCCAGTCGGGAACAAAATGAGTCTTTACGAGGTAAATTGCACTATACATTATATACATTATATAATGCATTTCGTCAACTAACCTGCTGTACTTTTATGCCACCGCAGAATCTGCTATGGCATATAGCGATTCACCTCTGTGTGTGTGTGTGTGTGTGTGTGTGTGTGTGTGTGTGTGTGCGCGTGCGCGTGCGCGTGCGCGTGCGCGTGATATAGATTATATTATTAGCTATAAAGATTGTTGACAGGTTATATGGCCCTATATAAACGGCTATTTGTAAATATAAACCGAGCCGCTAGGGTTCCCGAGGGTTGGATATTCCGATCCGAATCGTAAACATTTGTCAGGTATTTTTTCTTGCATATTTTGCCATATTATTTCATATTTAAAATGGTTTACCTCACTATGATATAAATTCATGGAAATTAAAGTCATTTCATCCGTAACTATTTTCTTACAATAGCGTATGAACTTACAACTTATATAACAACGGCGAAATGACGTCATCCTAAGCACATATTTCCCTTCTAAAACGACGTCATTTTAACGCGGTTCATTCATAAAGTGCGCTAAAATTACGTTGTTTTTTTTTGCACGAGACTCATCTGGCAACCCTATGCCAGATGAAATTTCCGACATGGGTAAAACTCAAGGATACGCCAGTCTGCTGTTGTTTCAATTTTGCCCATAGTGCCAAAATTGGCCTGGCCCCGGGAATTATAGGTTTTTCTTAATTGTATTCAATGAAACTTTAAAAAACTTCCACTCGGAATTGACAAAGACTAGTTTGATATTTGTCATGAAACATTGTGTATTGAACCTCTACTAAGTTTGTTCAAATTATAGCCATTGGGTCAAAATTGGCCCCGCCTTGAGGTCATTGATTTTCATTATGTACATATAGTAAAAACTTATATAAAAAGTTACTCTACCTGCATTTCAAAGTTTAATACACCTATGTTATACACTTAATACCTTTTTTTGTCAATAAAAATTCTTTTATTTTTGAATCAATTATTGCACTATGGCCTTTGTATCTTAACATTAGACACATCTGCACATGTGTCTAATGATTTGACATGCTAAAATATGATGTAGACCCCCAAATGCACTAGACACTATTGCATTATGGCAAAGTTCAATTGTATAATAACAAACAAATCTACTTCTGTTATATTAATGCGATGGTATAGCATTGTTTCACTAATGCATTCTTGTCTTAATATTAGACTTGCCGAGCATCAATCTTTATAACTGATCATTATCATTTTGATGATAACTTTTTGAAAATTTAAATAAATCTACCACAGTTTAGACTAAGAGTATGACTGCATTTATTCTTCAGTAATCACTAAAATCTTCATGTTTATTTTCTTTTAGTGTGCCAGTGTTGGGGCAAACGTTCATAATTTCAGTTATACAGACGGTGATTTTTCAGATGTAAACAAATATGCAATTTTTAAATTTGTATCACAAAGTAATGAAAGCAGTGCGTTCAACTTGACACAAGATGGAAAATTAATCGTGAACCATAAATTAGATGTTTTAAAAAAGGATAGTTACACGGTAAGGAAAATAATAACTACTTCTTCTACTCAAAACTACTTTAAATTTCCAGTAAGACATTCAGGTAATACAAATAATGAGCCTGAAAATGTGGTCTATGTCAATGCTTATTAAATATTATGTCGAATATGTTACATTTGGGTGCACATGTACCCCCAGTAATACTGTAGTGGCTCAGTGGTCCAGAGCGTTGTTATAAGCGAGTTGTCTTGGGTTCGAATCCAAATACGGCGGGATGTTTTCTTAACTGTAACGAACTTAAATGAATTTCAAAGCATTATGTTAGGGCCCGTCTACACCTATCCAAGTCTTGAATGCAAGTACCATATTCAGTTGTATTGCATAGTGTAGACACCCTACTTGAATGAGCTTTAAAGAGAAATTATGTGACATTCAAGAAGATAATTCCTTGCAAGAAAGTTAGAACACGTTCTATTTTTCTACAAGTTTTTGGCTGTCAAGACACTGATAACACCGGTTTGACACAAAACATGTGCCCTGAAGGTGTGATAGTGTTGTTGTTTTGTTTTTGTTTTTTTTATTTTCTGACTTTTTTGTTACTGATTCAGTGTTCATGATCTGTAAATTTTAGTAAATGTATAAAATATCTTGGTCAGAGGAACAGATCAATACACTGATACACAGAAGAGCCAAAAAAAAAATCAGTTTTTCAAGTAGTCAAAATGGATTTTAAATGATCTAGTTCATTTAGTGAATAACTTTCATCAAATAAAGAATTTGCATCAATTTATCAGCTCAAACAATATTTTTCTCACATTTTCCATTATTTTAATTAAAAGAATGTACACATTTCAATTTTTTATCCTGTCACTTGTAACAATTTCGGCCCGATAACAAGGTGCCGTATATTTTTACTGATCTACGGCACTTGATCACGTGGTATGCATTGTTTGCCGGACTACTTTTCAAGAAAAAATATAATTATGATTAAATTTGGTGGTTAAATGTGTTTTCGCCTCAGAGTTTCCAATAGAAACGTTAGTTAAATCTTCTGTGTGTAGAATAACGAATTTTGGAAACGTTGATAAAATTTTGTTTGTTTATTTTATTTCACTCTTTAATTGTTCAAGCGAAATAAAAATTATTAAAAGTGAATAAATGTAAAACTTAACTCGTTTGCGACATTAAAATAGCGTACTTGATTTGATTGTTTTGCACGTGCTGTTTGGCGCTACTTTGTGACGTCACTTAAACAATACTTTAAACGTCTGTACAGCGTTAACGACTGAATAAAAGATATTGGTGCTCGAATTCATTTTCTTAGTTAGACCATTTTCTTTCATTCTAGATAGTTTTCACAACAAAATTCGACAAAAAATTGTTTTAATTTATCACATTTTTCAAACAAAATGGAGTCCTCAATGTGAAAATACACAGGGAGATAACGCTTCGGGCCTTCTTTGTTTAGGCCTATATAGTTCTTCTAAACATTTCCGATAGTGTGATTAAAGCTAGTTTGCCTAATAAAATTCTTTTAAAAAAAAAGGTGACAGGATAAATAGAATAATAGATTGGTGCCGTGGATGCAGAAAGTTTATCTGGCTCTGCTTCGGAATTTATTGGGTTCGCCTTCGGCTCACTCAATAAATTCCTCCGCCTCGCCAGATAAACTTTCTCCATCCACGGCACCAACCTATTATTCTCTATATTTACTCCATTGTTTTTAGCTAATTGCACCATTTTCCCGCTTTTTTTATTCACATATTTTACAGAAACATGATAGGATTGCAAAGACAAAGGTATAAATCCTGGGCAATCTTAATTAGACATTCCAGTAAAAATTGTGCCTGATTAAATATTGAAAGGGCCATTTATTTAGCTTATCTAAATGTGACATGTAAGAAACTTGAATAGGTGTAGACACGGCCTAACACTACGAAATGCCGTTAGGGCCATCGCCTATGAATATGTTGATCTGAAACGCGATAGTCGATAATACGATGGTGAAAACGCGAAATCACGAAACTACGATGGTAAAAACGCGAAAGTACGATGATGAAAACGCGAAAGTACGATGATGAAAACGCGACAGTACGATACTACGATGATGAAAACGCGATAAACTATCGTGTTTTCACCATCGTAGTGTCGCGTTTTCACCATCGTAGTTCCGTGATTTCGCGTTTCATCATCGTACTGTCGGGTATCGCGTTTCAGATCAAACCATTCATAGGCGATGGCCCTAACGGCATTCCGGAATGCCGTTAGGGCCATCGCCTATGAATGTGTTAATCTGAAACGCGATAGTCGATAGCACGATGGTGAAATCACAAAATCACGATACTACGATGGTGAAAACACGATAGTACGATGATGAAAACGCGATAGTACGATGATGAAAACACGACAGTACGATGGTGAAAACGCGATAGTACGATGATGAAAACACGACAGTACGATGATGAAAACGCGATAGTACGATGGTGAAAACGCGATAGTACGATGATGAAAACACGACAGTACGATGATGAAAACGCGAAATCACGAAACTACGATGGTGAAAACGCGACAGTACGATGGTGAAAACACGATAGTTTATCGCGTTTTCCTCATCGTAGTATCGTACTGTCGCGTTTTCATCATCGTACTTTCGCGTTTTCATCATCGTACTTTCGCGTTTTCACCATCGTAGTTTCGTGATTTCGCGTTTTCACCATCGTATTATCGACTATCGCGTTTCAGATCAACACATTAATAGGCAATGACCCTAACGGCATTCCGTATAACACAAAGGCTATATTGTTCGAAAAATTGTGCGTGTTTTTTTTCTGTTTTATTTTCTTTTGTTTTCTTTTTTGTTTTTTTTTTCTTTTTGTATTCCCGAAAGAGTTTCAGGCATATTATGTTATCCGTCCGTTAGCAATTTGGTTTCCGGAGCATAAAGTAAGTTTCATTTGGCCATCAAAATTCAAACTATTGATTGATTTCAGGATTAGAAGGTCAAAGGTCACTATAATCTTAAAACTGAAAATACCTTAAGTTCCATTTGGCCTACAATATTCAAACTTCATTTGATGATTGTCCGTATTGGGTAGAAGACCCCTATTGAGGTCACTATTGCTTTAAAACTGAAAACAGTTGCCGCTCAATAACTTAAGGATTAATCAACCTACAGCTGGAAAATTTTATAGGATGAACAGTCATGTCCAATACATGACCCCTATTGATTTTAGCGTCATAAAGTCAAAGGTCTGGGTCACAATGATCTTAACACTGATAATTGTGGTTTCAGGAGCATAACTTAAGTCCCATTTGGCCTTCAGTTTTCGAACTTCATAGGATGATTTTCAATATTAGGTAAAAGACCCTATTGATTTTAGGGTCACAAGGTCAAAATTCAAGGTCACTTTTACCTTAAAACTGAAAATAGTTTCCCCTCAATAACTCAAGTATTAATCAACCTACAGCTGTAAAATTTTACAGGATGAACAGCAATGTCCAATACATGACCCCTATTGATTTTAGGGTCACAATGTCAAAGGTCAGAGTCACAATGATCTTAACACTGAAAATTGCGGTTTCTTGGGCATAACTTAAGTTCCATTTGGCCCAAACTTCATAGGATGATTGTCAATATTGTGTAAAAGACCCCTAGTAATTTTTGGGCCACAAGGTCAAAGGTCAAGGTCACTATTACTTTAAAGCTGAAAACGATTTTCGCTAAAAAAAACTTTAGTATTAATCAACCTACAGCTGTAAAATTTTATAGGATGAACAGCCATGTCCAATACATGACCCCTATTGATTTTTTTGATAAGTTTAAAGGTCAGAGTCACAATGACCTTAACAGTGAAGATTGTGCTTTCTGGAGCATAACACAAGTTCCATTTGGCTTACAGTGTTCAAACTTCATTGGATGATTGCCTATATTGATCGATATCTATATTGGGGTCACAAGGTCAAAGGTCAATATCAAATGACCTTGATATTTTTAACAGTTTTACAACTGTCAAACTTGAAAGGTTAATCGCTTATAATTAGTACATTTATTATACGCCCTAAAAAATTTGATTATATTATGTAATACCCCTGGCGTCTTTCCGCCCATTCGTCATAGCATTTTTACTTTCAAGACAACAACTTGATGGTGGCGCTTTGGAAACAGTAACTGTATAATTTTTATATATGAAGGTTCTTCAGCTATTTTGAAGGAGTTAATACTTTATTTAATTCTCATGTCTTACAAAGGTTTTATCCTTTCTAAAAAAAAAAACACTTTCGGGCATATAACGCTCCGCCTAGCGGTGCTCATGTTTGTTGTTATTGATTGTTGTTGTTGTTGTTGTTGTTTTTCCTTAATGGGGGGGGGGGTCGAATTTGATTTTTTTGTGTGTTAATTGCAATTTTGTTAATATTTATTATATAATAATGTTTATTTCTAATATTTAACAGCTCGAAATTCAAGCAACAGATACAGGAAAACCACCATTATCATCGGAACCAGTATTCATTACTGTTCATATACTAGATGTAAATGACCATGTGCCATCATTTACCAATAATATAACAACTTTAACACTATCTGAAAACAGTACTTTCAAAGACAGTGTTAAACAAGTAACGGCTACAGATGATGACAAAACCTCAAAACTTTGCTATAAAATGACAAGTACGTACATATATTAATACTATAACAAATAAGTCATGAAAGTAGATTATATATATTATACCTGTTATTGAGAAACAAAACTGAAAATGTTTAGCCTCATTAAGTCTAACCTAAGTTGTCACAAATGCAAAGTTAAAAATGTTTGATACTTGGATTATTATGACGCTTATTCATATTCTAAGCTTGAATCTCATTTCTATGAGATTATAGTATATATTTAACTTATTTCATAATTAAGTTGATTTTTTTTCAGATTCTGTCATATTATATGTTAATATAATTTTATTTTTATAGAGTCAAATTGGACGGAATACTTTAACATAAGTAAAACTGATGGAAAGATATACAATATTAAAAAACTCGATTATGAAAGGGCCCATTCTATGGAACTGGAAATAAAAGTGAACGATTGTTCGCTTCCGGATAATACTACATACTGTGGATTAAATCAAACCAATATAATAAAAAAGAACAAAGTTAAAGAACAAACAACGATCAAAGTTTTAATCACCGTCACGGACACAGATGATAACCCACCCGTGTTTAAGCAGAAACATTTAGCCACAGGGATGAGAAGAAACACTGAGGCTGATACTGAATTAGAATTACATTTAAGGGTATATCTATGCATTTTATAAGATAACATTTTAAGATACAATGCAAATTTATGTGATGCTTGTGGATAATTAAATCAACAAAATCCTATCTATTAAATGTCTTAACTGTTAGCATTGTAAACGTTGTTTGATTTTAGGATAAATAAATGTGTTTTGTTAAGTTTTTTTCATTATAACAATAAATTATATCACCAAATTGACGTTATTCCTAGTAAAGATTGTACAGAATTCTATTTGCAAAAAATATTTGTATGCAACATAATCCAAATATCAAAGACCAAAATTGTGCATTAATGTTTTTTCTTCAGAATACCTCTTACATAAATGATGCCGACTCTCCTGAAAATGGCGTGCTAGGCTGGACGTTTTCCAACTGTAGAAACATAACAGTCAGTCCTGAATTACAAAATAAAATCAAACACGACAGTGGTGATAAGTTATGTGATGATGGAATTAAAGTAAGTGCTGCATATATTTGTGGTTGAATTCTCTGAATGCGGGTGGCAGTAAAAATAAAAGTGAAGTCAGCAATGATGATGATGAAAATGATGATGATGAAGTTGATGGTGATAATGTTAACAGTAAACTGAACTTAATAAGCAATGTCATTGAAAAAAATGCAATATGCAGATAACATAAATATCATGTACAGTCATGGTAAAAGTAATGCGTATCGATATCGGCTACTCGGATCCTAAATTGGAGAAAATTAAATTCCTATGGTAGGATCCAAATAGGTGGAAATGAAACTTTTACAAGCTCGGTTCGATTGAGCGGGTTAATGGAGGGTAGTGGTTATTGCAAACAACCGCTTACGCCCTCTAGCACTGGCTCATTTAACGTTAGCTCATTCACATTGTAATAGCCAAATGTTTCTACGTAATTTCGATTATAGTATACACATGTTGGGAACGATCTGATTCTAACGCAATAATAAATCAAAGCACAGAAGGCGCTGAATTTGTTTGGGTCTCAGAATGTAAGAAAGGTGCAGGTTGTGAGATTATATGTATAGTGCCACCAATGCTTTCCAGCGTTTTAATTGTAGTAAATTGGCTATAAGACTAATTGCAACACTGATATTCAATCCAATGTTTATTTGACTTTAACAATTTGAAAAAAATGAGTTACCTTTACTGGGATTTTAACTCCAGACCTCTCGCTTTCTAAGCGAGCCCGAAAACCCTTCAGCCACGGTGAATTTATATGTGAACGGGCTGAAGAAAACCATATTATTCTAAATTAGGGCTTGTAACGACTTTAACTGTTGTTTAACACAGATGTAAATAATCCTGGAGCTTACTATAAGCATTTATATTTATAAAGAATCAAAGGGCTGCAAGTTCTGTGGTATTTTCTGATCTTTGCAATCTAAATCGTACTGTATATCTGTATGCATTTTCCTGTATAGGTTTATTTTTATGTAATTTAATTCATTTTGCAAGGAACCAGAGTTTGATACATACAGAATTCTGCATAACTAGAGTTGCATCAAAAAATCATTTATGTTCATTTTTTACGACAGCCACACTTTATCCTTGCATATCATGGCTACTTCCTTAACAAAAACACTTAAAAAAAGAATTTAACACAAAAAAGTTTCCTCGATTGGGATTCGAACTCGAAACCTCTCACTCACTACACCAGCGCGTTACCACTGTACCACGGAGAAGTTATACACAGTAAGTCTGAATAATATCAAGTCATTCTAAATTTAGAACTTCCATTGCATTTCGGGTTTGTAATCCTTATTAATTTCGAGGTATTTTGTTCAGGGTAAACCTGTTGTTTAAAATTGAAGTAAATATTTTAGCGAAAATCCTCTCGCCCAAAAAGTCCGACATGTAGAATCTATATATTCCACTACTCGGTTTGTGTAGTATTCGGTAATAAATAGTATTTTCATTGATAAAATCATATTCATCCGCGTAATTTGTGATTGTGCATTTATTGACAATTCTATAAGCCAACGCTATTGATTAACTTTAAATGCGTTGTAATTTGTTGGATACTTGTAACAAAATAAAATATTTCTTTCTTTTAAATCGCTAGTTTTAAGCTGTTTTGAGAACTACTTGTTGTTAGGTTTGTTGTAAACTTCTGTGTCAGAGATTGAATGTCCGCTTCGTATTTAGTTATTTTCGATCAGAAAATACAATAAAACAATATTAGAAATCTTCGACCATTCGGGAATTACTTTGCTTGAAAATTGATGCGCCTGTCTTTGACCATCTTTACGCAGTGATCTCCCTTGAATTTTTCGGCTTTAGTGTACATACACAAGGGAAGTAACCGCTTCAAAAAAGTTGACTACTTTCGGCATTTGCAATTAACAACATAAGACTCTGAAATTTCGCTACCATTATTTGTTTGGTCTGACGACCCAAACAAATAACCAGTGAAATTAACTTGTTATTTCAGCATATATTTTGTATCACCAAAAATGGAACTATAGTGAACAACAAATTCTTCAGTGAAGATTTATCCGGTTATTTTATTGTGACTGTTAATGTATCGGACAAAGCTGGATTCGACACTGCTAATGTGACGGTAAATAATCTCAACCCATTACCTGCTGAATTTGTGTAATATTTGAGCCGTGTCATGACAAAACCAACGTAATGCGTTTGCGACCAGCATGGATCCAGACCAGCCTGCGCATCCGCGCAGTCTGATCAGGATCCATGCTGTTCGCTTACAAACTCTATTACACGTCTCTCAAACTGATAGCGAACAGCATGGATCCTGATCAGACTGTGCAAATGCGCAGGCTGGTCTGGATCCATGCTGGTCGCTAACCCACTAAGTTGGTTTTGTCGTGACGCGGCTCATTTCAATGTTGTCTAGCCTTGAATGTTGAACAGTCCATACAGAGTCTAAAGATAAACTGTGCTCATCCTTAAGTCAAATATTTTAATCACAGAAAATTATTGAAATTTATGAAATTCTTACTGAATATGTCTAATTTGAATTTTAAAAAAAATAAATAAACAACTATGTATGGGAAGTTGCGTTCACTGTTACGAGTCAAGTAAAATTGGTCATCCAGTTTTTTTAAAGACACTATGCATTCATGTTGTGACCAACTATAGTGTGTAAAATTTCAAACATAATGTTCATATCTACTTCGTGTGAAGTCAAAACATGTTTATTTTATATTAACAAAGATACTATGTAGCAATCATCAATATTTCTAATATCAAATTTGAGCATAGTATATCTTAAAACGGTTATATCAAACAACAGAAATGACCTACTAATTATGTAGTACAAGGTCATGTTAGTCTTGCTCTTTACTCATTCTAAAGGATTATAACTTTCTGTTCCAATATCTTAAAGGCTTATCTTGTAGCTAGACAACATGTTTTAAATTGTCGTTCACTTTTAAATTTTGTATTTTCTTTCTCGATTTTCATGGGATACGCTAGAATGAGAACTTGGTTTAAATATAAGAATAAAGATCAAACTTTCATTGACAGGTGTTAACAGTAATTCTGATAACTTTATTATTATTATCAAATTATTTTTATTTTATTTGAGATTTGTTTATAAATGTTTTACATATGCTTGTTCTTATTGCTTTATCTAAAATTTATTAGAAATTTTTTATTGCTCAGATTTACTTGATAAGTGACTCTCAGGTGATAACAATGTCGATTCTCAAGCCAAAAGATTGGGTAGCATATAGGAAAGATGATCTCTTAAGGTAATTGATTTTCTTATCTTTATAGTACTCTACCCTTCATGATTTCTTGTTGAATCGACTTCAAAACATGGAGACGGCAGGCCTTTATATATTTAATAATAAATATTTAAACAATTACCCCTATATCCATCGTATCAGATACCAATACATGTATATGCAAACGTTTTATTATCATTTTGTCTACGTATCTACAATTTATATTTAGAGGCGTATACTCGTAGTATTTAAAACAAACTGGTGTTGATTCCTGTAAAGTTTGATATAATTACGCATGCGTATTAATTCTTTTGATGCTGATAAAATGATTTTTTAATTTACAAATGCCTTCTTCATTAAAGCGAACTCAGTAAAATTCTTGGATATACAGCAGTCTTTGACAGTATTCAAGACCATAGAGAAAATGGAGTTTTGAACACGCAAGGGTTTGTTAGCTCTTTACATTCTAAACATTTGTCCACTTGAAAGAAATTACATAAACTTTAATCCTCACAATTAGTGTTATTTTGAGTCAAAAGTTAGATAAATTTATTAGCATGCATTACGTCTTCTGGTATGTATTGACATTATGCCAAGTGTAAATTGTGAGTGCTCTGGTAAAAAGCAAAATAACTTTACATTTTGCCACAATTGTATTTATTTTTATTTTTTGCTATACAAAAATAACCAGCAATCCACGTGACCCGCGGTATGGTTTATAAATTGCGTTTGGAATGTATCTGTTACGTTCAATTTTTTAAAAAGAGTGAGGCAGTCTTTTAAGAAGTTGAGTAGGTTTTATATTTTATCCTAAACATTTTTCATTATAAATTATTGGCCAATAACCAGTATGATGATGAATCTCTTAAAATATATTAATAATTCAACTCAACTTGACAGCAAAAAAGTGAGCATAATGTCACTCTAAGACATTCAACCACATACGGCAGCAAATTTTATTGTAAATCATTACTGTATTATATTTAGTTATATGAATGTGTTTAATATTTATGATTAATTTCCTTAAAATATTATTTGTTGCCAAAATGTCAAATGTATTGTAAAAATAAAAATAGTATAGTATGCTTTTTTTACATTTTAGCTCTGACTTAAAATTTCATATCGTTGATCCGAAAACACAAGCGGTTTTGGCGGGAAAGGACTCTATAGAGTAAATATAACTTTTCATTACAACAATAAGCACCCTTTATAGTTTCAGAATTCCCGTATATGCGCAAAACTTGGCAACGAAAATTATCAGTATCAAAAATAAATGTAAAGAGATTTAGAAGAATTTAAAATGATTGCTTTATTTAAAGATTTTTCTTGAGAGTATAACAGGAATAGTTTTTGAGATACCACACCTTCATAAACAAACTATTTAACATACTAAACAATGACTACTTTTCGTAGACATATGTTTAAACTGCACCGTGGGTATTGTGATTTACAAAAAAAGATTCGTTTTGGGTTTTAACACATTTATTTCCCGGATTTATACATATTAACGAAATACAATTGCAATACAAATGCATCATTTAACGATTGAACATATGAAATGGACGTTAACTAGTGTTTTCCTGTTTTTCATTGCATTGTTTTGATTATTTCCCTTAGCTGACCGACAATTTAGTATTTATTAAAAATTTTTTACTATTATAACACATATTCGGATTAAAAGCAAAGTAGCAGAATGATGTAGTGAGTTTGCCTCTTCTTGTAAGGACATTTCTGTGTTTGAGTGCTTATATTTATATTAGGAATAAACCAAAATAAGTCTAAAAGCTTTTTTATGTAATGGTACCATATAACTATTTGACACTCATTGTTGATTTCCCAGATGTTTTTCATTCTATGATTTAACAAGAACTGTTTTATATTAATATGTGTATTTTTTTAATTAAATCTATCTTCTAATAATAATTCATTAATACAATGTGTAGGAGTTATTAACTGAGCCTTTCTTTGCATGGTGTTGTAGTTGTTGTTTACTAAATTCCCTTGTTCCATCAAGACGCTTAAAACTTTTAGTTTTAATTACTAGGTTGTTTGATAAACAAGCTAACAATGCGGAGATGATAAATCTGCAGAATACGTATAGTGTTATGAAAGTCACTCAAGTAAGTAATACTATAAGCAGAGCAGGTAACTGTCAATAGATTTAAACTTTTAGCCTGGTAAGAGCAATCACAAAAGCCTTTGCTTATCAAATTTGAAATCAAACCGGTCAACCCGGAACCGCACTTAGTTTTGTTGCCAAACTATTTGACAGTCACCTATTTAATGTTGATTTCGTGAAATTTGGACCAATATAAACAAAATCAAGCAGTCCATGACTTCTAGCATAATGCAAAGTTCCCAGCAATACAAGCAACTAGTAAATATTTTCCTATAGTCTAGACAGTATCTGAACAAGCGAAACTGACCTTCGTTATGGATTTTTGTTACACATCCCGACAAACTTATGTAATATTTTATAAAATATGTATTGATCTAAAACAAGCGGGTGGGAGTGTATTATTTTAGTGCATCATGAATGTTTGAAGTAATCAGCAATTATTTTCTCTAAAATAAGTCCGAAAAGATATATAATTGTCCATAAGGACAAATATGTACTTAATAAATATAAACATCTTTCGGGGATATTTCTGTAAAGGAAATCATTGTTATGAAAAATTTTCAGAAAATGATCATAAAATTAGAGCAAAATATATGAATAATGTTTTAAAAGTTCGAAAATGATTTGTTTTAGCACAATATGGATGAAAGTACTGCAGAAGAAGGGTCTAAAAAGTTGACGCTGATCTTAGTAGCTGTATCCATTGGAGAAGCTCTTATAATAGCCATTGTCATATTTGTTGCACTTTCTGCAAGGAACAAGTAAGTTGAGCAAAATATGGTGTTTACTTTTTCGGCCGAAGGCTGTATGATTGCAGCTTGACTTTTGGTAACTTAACGCACTATTTGTCTTCTTTTTCCCGGTACTTGCAGGACTGATTCCCAGCTACGGTATTATATATGAAACAAAAAAAGAAGAACGGTCTTTAATTAAACATTAAATGCAAAGAATTTCTGACAATCTTATTTCATAACTTTTTTGTTCTGTTTGGATATCTCATATGGATTATTTTTAATGCTCTTAATTTAGAAAGATATAGATATGTTTATTGTACCACTCGAAACTTCTGCTTTACATTTTTATGCTGAAATTAATATCTTTTCTTGTAGATTTAGGCGGAAACTTAAAGCGGCAGTCATAAACACGCCAGGTAACCATGATGATTTTTTTATTCACAAAAATAGCTTCTATATTGCGATTCACTTTTCACTGAAAAGTAATTTTTATTGCCAAAAAAGTCATAATCATAAAATATCTTGCAAGCATAGCAAAGAGTAAATGTAATAAGAGTTTTTGTAAAGTTTTATATATTTCCGACACTTAAAGAAAAAGTCATATGACAACTTTACTGGTTACTAATTCATCATGAATATTTTCATTTAGTTTCTCAAACGACTTTCAAATTGTAAAGAAATCAGAGACCTTAACCGCTCTTCCGTAATTACCTTTTTTGAAATATTGAATCTCATTTTGACACAAAAAAATTACAACCTCATGTGAGAATTATTAAGTTCTGGTTAAAACTTGTAAATAAAGACAACATAATATTAAAAACAGTTTACACTCAGGCACTTGAAGATAGCAATAAAGGAAAGACAAATTGGGTTTCTAATGTTAAAAATATCTTAAACAATAATGGATTTTCATATACTTTTGATAATTGTGACAATATAGACAAGGTTATGTTTTAATCTGAATTTAAATGTCGTCTTATTGATTCCTTCAAGCAAGAATGGTTCGGTAATCTTGAAAAAAGTCCTGTTTTATGTATATATAGAAATGTTAAATCTTGTTTTGAATATGAATATTATTTAAATATACTACCTAGGTGTTTTAGATTTTAATTTTGTAGATAAAGAATGAATGGCCTTCCTTTAAGAATTCAAACAGGTAGATTTAGTAGACAGAGAATCCCTCGTGAAGAAAGATATTGTTTGTTTTGCGATGATTTAGATATTGAGGACGAGTACCATTTTATCTTTATATGTAAATGCTATGATGTTATAAGAAAACAATACTTAAAAGCCTACTAATAGAAATCCATCAGTTTACAAATTTACTCAACTGTTAAACTCAAAAAATAAAAATGAGCTTATACGTTTATCCAAATTTGTTAAAGAAGCTCTTTCCATTAGGTATGTACTTTCAAATGCTACTGTCTGATTACAATTAATGTTCATTCTCCAAATGTGTTGTTTTGATTCCAAAAATATCCATAAAAGCATCTTATTTACTTATAAAAGTAAATAGTAAATACACATTTTCCCATAGCTACATGTTTGTTTGATTGATTGATTTATTGATTGATTGATTGCATGTTTGTGTGTTGCTATGAAACTATTGTATACGTAAAATGTGATATCCTTATTTTGTTTGTTAATTTTCATGCAGCTATTACATATGTGAATATAATGTATTGTAGATGATGTACTTTGTACAAGTCTTAATAAAATATATGTTCTGTTGTGTTCTGTTCTCATTATGAATGTAAAATCAACTTATAACTCTTTACATTTTTAAACTTTTACTTAATTTATTGTTTGTATTTTATCAAGACATCTATTGTTTATTGTTTTTAATAACAAAACACTAATTTAATGATGTAGGTCTAATCATAAGGATATGAATATTAATTACATATTTCTCTTCAATGGTATTCTATCTTTTACGGCACATGACAGAAGTACATTTAAAATCACTTTCTTTGAGCAAATGTACAACACAATGTTTTATTATAATAGATCAATAAAATAAACTTATTCTGATTCGTGAAACCACATTACAACTTTGATATTAATACAACAGTTATATATATGTGTATGTATTTTCAGACATGGAAATGCATGTATTAGAACAAAAGGAAGCTGCCATTCCAGGAAGCAATCTTTATTCAAAACAGTAAGTTTTAAGTTTTAGATTTTTTTTCTTTCAGGTGTCATTTATTTTTTCGTTTATAGGCAAAATAAAAAGTTTTGGCAAAACCATTTTTCAGAGGATTATTTATTAGCCTTTTATTGAAGTTAAGTCCATCAGGTCTCTTGTTTAAACTGCATTGATAGAGGAAAATTGTATGAAAATTTTAAACAGAAAACAGATTTCCATTTGACCTTAAATACTCTTTTTTTTCAAAAAAAAACTTTTTTATTCTTGGTGCCAAATAAAATTGCCAGAACAGCAAAAACAGCCATACAGCTGAGTCATATTTACATATTTTGCATCATAGCAATGAAGTTATAATGATTTCGTGTTTTGTATTGAAGTCAAAATACTACTTTGTTTACAATTTGCTTCCTTTATTACTGTTATTTGACATTCAGTGCTGTTTTCTGCGGGTGATAAGTATTTAACATGTTCTGGATCAATTACACTAATAGTACATTGTAAATAACATGCTTGCCTTATATGAAAATCAAAACAATTATTCATTTCTTAGGCTTAATGTGTCCTTAAGATTCTTTGTGTACCATATTTATTTAAACACACACACACACACATATATATATATATATATATATTGAAATTAAGTATATTTATATACAGCTATGAATTCAAACAAAATGATTAAAGGTGAAATTAACAAAATGTCTACAAATATATTCTGAACTCTTTCCATCTTTAGGAACAATCCGTTGTTGAATGCTGACATCAAAGATGTTATTCACGACCAAGGTGTAGATGATGAAAGCTCTCGAAGGTATGAACAAATTTCAGGTTAAAACTTCACACATTTGAGTAAATCATAAGAGCAGTTTAAGAGATAACATACAGATATATAAAGGTTTTAGTGCTTTGAATGTATCATTAATTACAGCTCATGTTAAGCTGTTCATGATTTAAGAATTTACAGTTTTAACCACCTTATTTCTACCCAGGTATTATCGAAACTAATTTTACAAGTTTTGACACATAATAAAAATGTTTTTGAATAGTAAGTGTCTTTAAACATGTGAAATAGATTATACTGTTTTGACCACTTAATCTTAATATTATTAACTTTCATGCGAAGGAGTATAAGTGCATTTCGTAGACTTTGATGGTTAAAAATTTATGTTTTGAAGCTTTTTTTATTAATATTAGTATTAAATTCTGCTCATTTACGATGATTATTCGTTTCATGTCAAACTATGACTTGACACAAACAATAATTATCTGGTGCTTATTTATTATCCTTTCCGGATATTTTGTTTTAACTTTTCTACAACACGCAACGATGAACGTTTGAGCTGACCATTTGCTAGAAAGTACACACACTTGACCATTATTCATAAACTTTTTTGCTTTGTAGATGTTGAGCTTTATAACATCAAATAGTTTTGTATTAACTTTCAGTTTTGAAGGTGTTGACCTTTAAAACATCAAATATTTTATATCAACTTACAGTTTTGAAGACATTGACCTTCAAAACATAAAACATTTTATATTAACTTTCAGCTTTGAAGATGTTGACCTCGAAAACATCATTTTTTATGTTTACTTTCAGGTTTTAGTACGTAGATCTTAAGTCTAAGATACATACTTTCATCTCATGTATATATGTTTTACAATCAGTTTTGAAGACGTTGTTTGAAAATAAATCAACGTAAATATATTTACATTCAGCTTGAGGGACGCTAACATGTATATATAATTTAAAGATCAACAACGAAAACTTTTCCTAAGAGACTTCAGACTACAATCACTACAATCATCTAGTTAACTATTTAGCGATCGCATTTTTATATTTATATTTAGCTTTGAAGACGTAGACCTTGATGAAAATGTTGTTGATGATCACACTACTGTGTATGACAGAATAGAGGAAAAGGAGGCAACAATGGACATGTACAATGATGATACCTATCATTCCATATCAAGCGAGGACCTGCTTGACGCAACATTGAATCTTCACGCCATGCGCAAGTCTAAGGAGAGTTTGGACAAAATTGATGACGATAGTCATGACGTCAGATATCATTCGGCAGACACCACAGCAGCGTTTATTAATGAATCATTCATGGAAGATTTAGAAAGCACAGAAATATGAGTCTGATAACATTGCAGTTTAAGCAGATACTTTTTGTATTCTAATTTGATGCTATAATCGATTTATTAAGCAGATGACATTTTTGTAAAACTATTTAATCAATTATTGCATATGAAGGATAAAACTAATATAATTATGATGTAAATTTGGTCCTATAGCATACTTTCTAGAGTAGATGGGACACCTAATATAATCTCTAAATGAGTGATATTATTTCATATTTCGGATATCACTGAAAGTTTTACAATACATGTGAAAAGAATAAGGAAACATATACAAGATGTATAGATCTACATCTTTATAAATGTACTTTAAAATTTCACTAGACGCATTGTTTGAAAGTTTTAATGAAGACAATTGCTATAACATTCTACTGCTTTTTATGTTACTGTATATCAGACATATTTGTATGATATAAGAGTGTTTAAAATGTTATAAGACCAAATATATCCGAATGCCTGACATGTATATGTGAATAAACACAGTACTAAGTACTAGTACTATATAATGTTTATATGTATTGAATAGTAGAGTTTAAAAAAAAATAATTTTCAACTGGACGAACATTGTATAAAGATGATATAATATATTTGCATTGTGACTTACGTAATAAATTATATCTTATTATTATCAGTAACTCCGTGGAACGACTCAGCGTTGTTGGTTTGTAACAGTCTTAATTTCTATCGTGTATATGTAAGGGCTATATGGTCAACTGTTTAATAAAGGAATATTTGATTAACCAAAACTTATATCGAACAACACATTGCAACATGCCGGGCTAATCTATTTTACAAAAGACACCGCGGACATGTAAAACATTATTTTTAAAATATGTGTCCATAAGTTGCTGTGTTAAAATAACATTATACGCATATTTTTTTCCAATTTTATCACACATTTGAATACACACTTAAAGTGTATTTATACAAGGGTTAAATCAATATTTATAAAAAAAATCAGTCAAATAATTGTTAATTCAGAAATTGAAAATATTCATTATTAAGTAATTTTCATTTCAGTTACTTATTGAAGGTCCTAAAACTGAATAAAGCCCCACATATTATTTTTACATATTCTATCTCTAGATTTAAAACTAAGTATTTATATGATGATTTGCTGGTGATATTTTTTATTCTCTACTTATATGTACATACCTGTTTGCCAAATTGAGTGATAAAGTTGAACACGAAAAAAAGAATGTCTGATAAATCATGTAATGAAACATTATTTGCAAAACAACTGTATTTTTTGTATATTTAGATTGCAATTAAATGAAGGCAAATAATACATAGTTTTCGCATTTAAGATTTTAATGGGTTTTTTTTGTTTTATTTTATAAACAAATGTATACCTACCTATTCATGTCATTATTATATTATATATCATCATTGTTTATCACAGTATTATTTTCTCATACTATAGATGATTCACATAAAGAAGTTAATCATTTCCTGTCTTCTTCCTCATTTTCTTTATTAATGTTTCTATGTTACTCAAGTATCCCATATAACTTTTATTCTTATTATATTCATGATTTCCATTATTTGCTATAATAGTAATCAAGCATAATATAAATACATTTTTACATTTTGAAAATAAATTCATACAAGCGTGTCGTGACTTTTCTATAATACCATTTACCAGTACTAACTATATGACTTCACAATTCACTTATTTGTATTTTTAAAGGCAAAGTATGCCTCAGTAAAGAATAAATATTTCAAACATGAAAGGTCAAACATGAATTTTATAACATTTTAGAGCAGGTAAGATGCATATCACTTTCAAGAAGTGAACCTTCATATAAAATTATTTACTCTTAAAGTAGTAGACTAGTGTAAAATAGTTAGTTTAATTTTACTTCTAAAAAACTAAATCATTATATAAGTGTACACATTGACGGAAACCAACTGAAGAAAAACACGGTTGAGATAATTGGAAAGAAAAATAAGTAACATTTTGGACACTTTTAAAAGAAAATTGAAGAAAAAAGTTTTCTTTAGCCGAATAGGCCTTTAAGAGAACTAGATTTTGACAGAATTGCTATGTGCCGATTATCTAACATTAAATGTGTTACATTCGCATAACTCAGTCCTTATACAACATAATATGTTATCAGGTGATTGAATTAGAATCAAAAGTCGAACATTTTATAAAGGAAAATGTGTAACTGAGCAATTTGCTTTATAAATATATGTTAAATGTCATCGTATGATAAATAAAAAGATACACAAAAAAGAAAATATAACACTCTGTACATTAAGATAATAATTTAACATATACTATCTCAATTTAAATATATTTGTGATTCTCATACTAATTCTTTCACAATTAAACGCTGATGTTTTAAAATATTGTAAAATTGAAGATGTATGATATGCCCACATCAAGGGGGCTTAGTTTTTGAGATAATAATATCAAACGTTAAAGTTGTTTCATCAATTTTACTCTACTTTCTGAATAAATATTAGAAAAGAAATAATATTGGAATAAAGATTAGAAAAGAAATGATATTGGTATTAATACTTTATAACCACAAAAAGTAGTAAAACATTAAGTATTTGTGCTAAATTCAACCTTTTATTATCACCTTTTAACGTCAAATATATTGATTAAGAACGTGGCATTATTTAAGAATAGGATTGCCTCAAAATAAGTAATATTTCCTACCCTGGAAATATGTGTTCCCCTACCTACTTAATCATAATGTGAATGCATGAGAAAAAGATAAGGAAAACCAGAATTCCTGAAAAGCCAACCACGAAATCGAAAAAGCTGAAAATGTTGCAGGCTCGGCTTGTTTGAGCCTGTTCAAGGACGTTTCTGTCAAATGTAAACTACTGTCCTCGATCCCCCTAGAATGTACATAGGATATATATATTTGACAGATGTCTGTTGCTTTCTGTAACCTTCATAATATCGCATTCTTATATTTTTCTTGCATATCAGACTGGTGTTTTCGTAAGTTTTAACCGGAAATTACCTCTTGTGTGAGGGTCCAACAGATAATACACGTGTTTTTATACAATAGCGTCATTTTAGCGCACTCTCTAAATGAATGACGTTAAAAGGCGTCATTTGTGCGTATTTAAGAATACAACTACGTGATGTCATTTCGCCGTTATGAATGAAGGTGAAAATGCATACGTAAAAAGGTTACGGATGAAATACCAAACTTTTAATGACAAATTGATAATTGAGGTAAAATATTTAAAATATGATTACATATGGTATATTGTGCAAGGCAAGAAAAAATATAAAAACTTGTATGTTGCTTAGATCGAAATATCCGTCCATCGAGTCCCCGCCAATGTACAACAGCTCGGCAAGTCTCGTAATCTGAACCTAACATATGACAAATATCATTATCGTGGAGTTATATTTTCAGTAAAAGAAACTTATCTTATAATATTTTTCACTGAAGTTTTTTTTTGCATTAAAGACTAAACAAGAAAACGGCTGACATTATGAACTCTAATACCTTTTCAGTTTGTTTGTTTGTTTCATTTTACTCCTTTTCCCAACTGCATTTCAGTCATATAGGCGGGTAGTTTCCTAACCTTCGTTCCTGGAGAGTTTCACCAGTACAAGACTACCTTCCTCCGCGCTAAACTACCAAAGCATCTCCCGGGGATTGAACCCACGCCAGAGAGGTAACTGGATTTGAAGTCACCGACTCTAACCCCTGGACCACGGAGGCGGGTTACTACCTTTTCAGAATAAGGTGTAAATACATTCATGTGATGAAGTATATTATAGTTTAAGTATATTATCAACTTTTTTCAACTTGTCATCGACTATCTAAGTCTGTAAGGGGAGATCTTCCAAACAGAAATTAACCACATGAAATATATTTAAATCAAAGATGTAGTAGAGTAAATTAACCAATCTCACGAGAGTTTCGAGACATAGATATGGTCAGCATCAACTTTAATTGCTCTACTGCTGTGAGGTTAACAAGTATCAATATAATTTTGGTTTTTATATTTGGACTTGACAATAGCTATTAAATACCTCTTTGGGGTGCTAATGGCTGTTTCGACAGCTCTCAATTGCCTTGATAAAAAAATTAATTTCTCTGAAGTGTCCTTCTTTGCAATTATTTCCTATAGTTCGTAAAAGACATATCAGCAGGAGCTTGACTGTTTCTCAGAGTTTACCATTAGAAATTTTCAGTGAAACAATGTTGATCTTTGTCAAATCAAATCAAATCAAAATTCATTTTTTGTCAGTATACATATATAACATTTTACAAAAAACAAGCTATGTATAGCTTTTGACCGACATCAACAAACAAAATGAATTACTCATATCTACAAGCATTTGAACAAAAATGAATGTGTCGTTGTTCATACAGATGCGCAGTCTTTTCGGCATATTTTATGCGTTTTCATACATGTTAACAGATGAACTGTGCACGTTTAACAAATTTTAAGAAATCGATGAAACAAAAATAAATATATTACACCTAGGATGACAAATATTGATGACAAATATTTCATTTAAAAGTACTGTTCTTTTTTAAGTCAAACCAACTTATTTAAAGTCATAAGGCGATTAATTATCTTTACTGGTTGAAAATTTAACGAAGATTCCCTTCCTTACCAAAGATTGGACTGATTGGAATCTCCGCCACTCAATTACCTAGCTTGTTAGCTGCTTCATCACATGAAAAAATCCAGTTTCTGAAGGAATTTGAAACCACATCATAGAACAACGTTCATATACTAGTATATCAATAAAATTCTAAAGCGTTTCAAATACACAAAGTTGATATTAAAATCGTATGTATATTCTTTTATCAATCCTAACTCACTTTTGTTTTTCTTGTTGTTCACATTTATAACTGGTTCATGAATTGATATCTTAATCAAACTTTTGCCACAATGATTGTATGGAGAATATAACTTTTAAAAGACAGATTTTAAGGATATATATTGACTACACGTATGTTCTTTAAAAATTAGAACTTTAACACACAATTTTCAAACTACCTAAATAAAATTATACCTCCTCCTTTTAATTATAAGTATTGATATAAAATAAGTTTTTATTGAAAGGCGGAAAGCGGACGCAAGTTCAGAAAAAAAGCGTGACTATCAATCGATTATAAGTTAGCAAAACATGCTTGTAATGTTACGACTTATAAAATATTTTAATCGCGAAACTATTTTATTGTTAATTTATGCAGTCATTAACATTGATAACAAAAATGTTGGACGAAGCTGTATCACCCAGTATGTAATTGATATGAAAAAGTTTTATGTAAAATAAACCGACCTGCAACATTTTGAATTTTGTGCTGTTTAAACGTTCTTTAAGGATGTTGGTTATTCTCTGTTTTATGACTTTAGATTTTTTTAACATGCCAAATATTCTACATTCAACATACTTATTTGATATCGTAAACTGAATTCGTATTGAATAATTCCATTATTCCTCACAAATATTAGACATTCAGATTTCCAAACCTGATTTAAAGGTGCATCCTTTTGAATTAATTTTAACGTAGTATTGATAGATATATATTCCCTGTAGAAAATTTAAGTAATTATATCTATTACACGACTTTAAATTGTGGAAATCCTCTTACGGCTTTTGTACAAAGTAACAAATATTTAAAACAAAATGTCGTAAAGGAGCTTTATTTCGCGTGTGTTTTAATTTATGCTTTTTGCAGAGAAGTATACTTTATTTTGGCATTGATTGTTGATGACTACATAATTTTATTATGAAGACCGTAACGGTTGTCCTCACTTTTGGATTGAATTTGCTTTTTTCATTGCCAGTAGAAAAAAACAAGTTTCTACCCATATCCCAAAATGTTATCAAATTATGATATTGTTTCACCGGAAGATCGGACCGCCCGTAAGGCAGTGATCGTAAAAGGTTCAATGTTACCATTTTGTTGTTAATTTGTTTGCCTAACAACAGTAAAACATTTTAAATAGAGTAAAATAGGTTCCCTTAAGAACGCTTAAATTGTATATATATTGAAAATGCTGCAGGCTCGATTGGATTTACCATTTCTATGGACAGTCGCCATGGACGGTAGCGATATTTGCAAGCTTCTGTCTACGGCCCCTTTCACCGGGTTTTGCGAAATTCGACATTTAAACACTAAAATGTTAAAAATTGGACGAAACATCCGTAAATATGTTGTGTGAAACTAAATAGTATCTTGATTCGCATTGTCCTCGTTATTGTCGTTACTACGTTTAATTATATTAAATATCATGTATCTGCCAGTGAGATAATCCTCTTATAGACCTTGATAAAAAAGTGCCAACATGAAGACAAGATATTAGTCAAAATGATAGATATGACTGCCGTCTTAAGCAGCTATGCGTTAGTATTTAGTCTAGAATATACTTATCTATATTAATATGTGAATACTACTTCTGTACGGAGAAGATGGGTATATATTTTATAATGAGATATATACGCGGAAAGTTCGATGTAAATTAAATTAAGAAAATAATCATCTCAGTATGTGAATCTTATAATGTATATGCAATTGTAAGTTTGTTTACTCCTATTGTGCGTACTTTTACTTCTAATTTGTAGTATGTAAATGTCTGTTTAAAAAGAGTTCTCATCTTCTGAATATA